GTTAGTGTTAAATCTACAAATCTAAAATCTATAATCTCTACTGTATTTATAGTTCTCCATCTTTCTTGGATTCTTGTTTTTTTTCGATACTTCTTCGTTCCAACATGGGCCAACCTACCTTGACACCCCCCTTGACTCCGGCGCCCATCGGCGTCATCCCACGGCTCCCTCGCGCCGCGCCGAAGCGAGGCGATCGCCTTCCCGCGGTGCCGCTTCGTGGCGGCGGAGCTGGAGCGTTCGCTGCGGGAGCTGGGGCTGGCGCCCTCGGCCGCGCTGCTGCTCATCGAGGAGGAGGCCCGGAGCTGAACTGCTCATTGAGCGACCAAAACGGAAGCGGGACGAGGGAAGGAAGGAGGAAATGGAGTAAGGGGTGAGGGTGGAAGATGGGATGACATGGGCGGTTTTTGTTGGAGGGAAGGTGGTTGACCTTCCGATCCAAGCATGATCTATAGTCAAATGCCCTAAGAGTTGTGTGTGTGTGTGCTCCATGTTGATGGATGATTGAGCTGGGGGACGTTCAGCAGGTTTGTGCCCCTCAGAAGGCCAACCAGTTAGCCAAACAGAGCAAAACTGGATGTGATGGTGGGGAGAATGGTGGGGATGTTTCATCCATCCGAGAGAGGTGAAGTGACCTTATAGGACCCTACGAACTTCCCTATGGGATAGTCAACTGAGGTCGTTCAGCCTCTTTTGGATGTTTGTTCGTACATCAACTGAGGCCCAGCCTTGGCCTCCTTCAACTGAGGTCCAGCCTGGTTGTGGGAAAACAACGGTTAGCCTCGTCGATGGCAGGGATTCTCGAAACATACCCAAACAATGAATGTATGGCATACTTATACCAGGACGCTCGAAGGGTTTTCTATGGTTTTGGCCTCTCAGGGGTGAAGGGTTACGGGGTTTCCAAAAACCACCAGAGGAAGGTGTGGATAGATCATATTCCATACATGGATTCTTGGGGTAGGGAACCATGGAATTTCTTATTTACATCAGGGTCATGTGAAAATGGGGTGCATGTACCTAGCACTTCCAACGGGTGCCCTGTTTGGAGACCTGCAAATAGGGTGGGGTAGTCGAACGCCAGGACACCCAGACAGGATGACCCTGGTAAAGAACAACAGGGATAAGTCCCTGGGACACTATATATATATATACACTGTATATTCTTAGTCACTGACCTGACAGCTGTAATATACTGTATATATATAAATACAATATATATATATATATATATATATGAACCTTATCATCCCTTGTTCCCGGATGACCCCGGCACATCCCATTGTAACTCTTTCAGTCTCATCAAGACCCAGTCTTCGTCACTCGACGTCACTCGACGTCGAGGCTTGAGACCGAGACCACCGGGAGATGAGGCGAACGTGAGGCGAGAGGCGAGGCTCGTGCTTTCGAAAAGAAAGGCGCCAGCAGGTCCCCGGACATGAAGATGCTTGGTATATTGCTGGGGAAGAGGTATAATATGATAGATCTATATCTATATATACATGATATAGTACTATTTGATATATGTACTTATTTTACTTGGGCGTTCCAAAGTTCAGACTACAAGGGCAGGTGTGTGACACTCCGCAGAATGGAACTGGAGTGCTTGTTTAGATTGTTGGGAACTGGAGACTCAGCGTTTCAATCTGTTTCCAGTTGGTCGTTCTTTATAACATCTTATAGCGACTTCACCCTCAATTGCAGGAGGGTAGGGGTTAACTGGCTTTGACTGCAGCCTGATCCAGTAGATTCAGTAGCGCCCGGCCAATGTCCCCATCTAAAGGCTCATCATGAATGAAAGATCTTGACCCCTAGAAGGCTACTAAACTAGTAGCAAAGACTCTACTAGTAGCTAGAAGCTAGTAGGTTGGAGGCCATCGCTACTGGGGTGGAGGCCATTTCTGCCAGTAGCAAGAAGTGCCCATCTAAGACCTGTGGTCCATTGTGGTCCTTTTAAGTCGGATAAATCGTTTTCTTCACGGTCCGGAGCTACCCTGCGGTTCCACCGTTCTCAGCTTTGCTTCAAAGAAGAGCTGAAGCGCTGTTTCACTGAAAGCAGCAGGGGCGTCAGCATGCACTCCGTAGGTTTAGCTGTAGGATGATTCAATAGGTTTGGGCCACTAGCGAGCCTTGACTCTTAGGCTCTTCTGAAGAAACCCCATTTTTGTTTGCCCTATTGGTGAGTCGAGAACGATGGTTTGGCAACGCATGATTGGACCATGAACCGAGGGTCAAATTGAAAGATCATGGGGTCGATGATGAATGATGAAACTTTCACGTTTTGACATGTTCGTCGCCCCTTTGTGACGTGCGTCACGGTAGTGGAAGAACTGCGCCGTTCTTCCAGTTTTCATGCCGGCACCCATGCTAGTTGCGGCGAAAAAAGCGGGGCACCAGAAGTCAGGGTGGCCCGAACAGGCTCTACAAAAGCAACATAAACAGTAACTAGTGCCCCCTAAGGGGTGTCTAATTATAGCTCCTGAAAGGTTAAGGGGTATCCATTAACCACCCCTATCCGGGGGGCTCTGGTAGAAGACATGCTAGACTAGACGTTTTCTGGTTTCACTTTGGCTTTGAGGTTTCGCATGCTTTGCCCGGCGATCCGGGATCGGTCGGGACGCGCGTTTGGCGTGGCGCCCCAGTAGTAACCCAGCCATCCGGGTTGTGCATGGCGTCACACTGTAACTTATGTGTAGGCACTTGATGAATAAAAGCTCCATATGAAGAGGGGTTTAGGTTTTAGGGATCAGAGGGTTGGTATTACATGGTATCAATTATTAACTACAATGACATTAAGTACCTATAGCCGCTATAGCCTATAACATTAACTCCGGAAGATTGTTGACCAATTGACACTAATATACACCAATGAGCTATCCTGCAAACCATGCCCCGCCAATCAGAGCGCACTGGGGTGGCTGATTTCAGGGTTCAGGGTGTGTCCCATTACCAGTAACAGTTGAATGACAGATGATCCCTGAGTTTGGGCAATGCCTTGACCAACCATTGGACCATCATCATCCACTGGGCGTAGCCAAACACATGAAACTGGAATGGATGCCAGTCAACCATCCCAATGCAGGTCCACATGCCAGTCTCATGGATTGCTTGGGAATCCTTTGTGCTGATTCGAGCGTGGAGAACATCACCCAAACCCTCCCTAAAACTGGACTATTGACGGAAACAGCCCTCCCACGCAGAAACTGCCAGTCCCAGACTGCTCGTGACAGGTCGTAGATGGTCGTACTTGGAGATACTTGGAGGGTGCTGGTAGTATAGCTACAGCCTCATTACAGAAGAAATCTCCAAGAATACCAAAGTACATCCATATTCTATTGGAACGTGGCAAGACCGTCAAACAGAAGATTCAGATTTTATAAGGGCATATTTAAAAAAAATATATATATATATATATATATTATACTTTCGAGGTGATTTCGAGGTGGACATGTCCAGGTTCAAGCCTATCCAAGAGTCAAGAGGCCAATCCACAGTAGAAAAAAAGCAGCAGCGGAGCAGCCAGTGTGCTGCTGCAAGGTCGACATAATCAGGGGCTGTGCACATAATGACATACTCTTTTGGATGATGGGTTCAGACATGTGGATGTCCAACCTTTACTTGGGATATCTTGGGATGAGGATCATAATGCCCCCGAATGTATAACTTCTATGTAATTCGTTTCGAGATATTATCATCTATTGACTGCATGTCTCGCCAGGAGACGCTCGTCGCTGAGCCGCTCTTAATTGGCCAGGCATTTCTCCAGCAACCGGCGCAGTGGCCGAGAAAGTCCCGGAAAAACGGGCGCAGGATGCTTTGGTCCTGCAATTTTTGTTGTGTTTGATGCATTTGTTGTTCTGTTCTATTGTTCTGGAGATTGAATGTCAGCTGGCCAGTTGCCATGTCCTTTGAAGTGCCCGCACTTGGCTTGGGTTGGCCCGACAAGTTTGGATGCCAAGTGTCCATTTCTTAAGGCTCGCAAAGCAGCAATTTTGCAATAGCTCTACCTGTTGCTGAGGCCGCTTTGTCATTTGAAGCAAGAGGTCGGGACCACCATTTTCCCTGCAAGAGGATCTAAACAGCAGTTTCAATATGTGAACGGTGCTTTGTTGAACAAACATTTGGACAGCGGTCGTAAGCAGTAGAAGCTTCTTCGGAAGCCATGCGCTGATGAGGTAGTGGTACCACTGCGACCCTGAAAATATCGTGGAATTCATAGGATCCACTCACGGATGTACAATGCGTTTAGTGTGCTAATATGGCACAGGAGCTACTGGACTAGTTTTCCTGGATATCCTCCTCCACACTCCCCAGATCTGCCAAATCAGATCCTCTCGCAGTCTTGCACTCCCAGAACTTGGGAGTATTAAGCATCACTCCCCCCATGTTTGATCCGTTTTTTTGGTGTGCGGAATCGCTCCGCAGAACGACTGGGGAGGATGGGATCTCATCACTGCAGGATCCTCAGACTTCGGCCCCATGGAGCCTCCTGCATGGGGAAGAGAACTCTTCAGCAGGGTGAAGGTGAGGTGTTTCACCGAACGATCGCGTGTCACCCGGAGATCCTCGGAGGAGTGGAGTGAGTCCGGAGTCTCCAGTTGGATCCGATCAAGGATTCAGGCTGAGTTTGAGAGCGGTGAGGAGCGGCAAAAAGTGAGTTCTTTGGGAGTGCAAATGCCTCCTCGGATGGTGTTTTAAGCCTAGATCCCTATACATCCCAAACACCTTGGCAGGAGGCGGAGCCCTAGGATTCTGAACTTTAGGTCACTGGCAAGGCCAACTTCGCTCACTTGGTCTCACTTTCATGCTTTCATCACTTTAAAGGTGTTGCAGGAAGGACTTTGGCACCATCCAAGTTTGGTGAAAGCTCCGGATTGACAATCCTTTGGTGTCTTTATAGGTGGGATTCCACCTTGTTCTTCCACCATTCTTGTGGGACTTGGGACCCAAATGGGCTGGGAACGCACACTGCGTGACAGGTTTTCCACGCATCCACGGCTGAGGACAAGCCCCGCTCAGAGCGTGGCTTGCTGATGCGTTTGGTGGACGACGTTTTTGCCGAGGTGGGGGTCGCAGGGGTACGGCGGCGATCACATGGGGTGGGTGTGCCATGGTGTGCCAAGGGGCTGGAGTCTTTGACTGCATGGATGATGAATGTTAGGTCGTGTGGACTCTATAATGAATGACATCCCCCTTATGGAGAGGCTTTACTATCCAAATGAAATTGGGCGGGTTTTGTGAATCAAACATTAAAACATATTAAAACATCCAATGGATCCAATCTTCGCACTGTTGTGTTGTGATTTTTGGGGCTCCATCCTGTTGAAAATAGAATTCCCCCCCTCTCGGTGGAAGACATCGACTTGTGCATCGTTTGGATCGGCCTGTGGCGGGTGGGCTTTCTTCTGGACTGATTCGTCAGGACAGCGAGGAAGAAGCGAGTCGCCTTTTATATGGATCCACATACCTTCTCAGGTACGGTGAGGACGGAGACTGTTGATGTAGGCGCCAGGAGGGACCCAATGACCTTCTGAGGTTCGGTATGTGGATCCATAGGGATAAAACATGTTTGGATCTTGTTGGTGGAATGGGAGGTCTCTGACCACTCAACCAGAAACAGACGTCGTTCACCCAATCTGACGAGGATCGAGTCCTGCGGGGGTCTGAGGATGTCAGCGAATCTGGGAAGGACGACCTTGTGGAGCGGCCTAGGTGTTTCCTGGCCAGCAGCTTTCAACCTTCAAACCTCCGAAAAAGGTGGTTTTAGAAGAATCTCCGAACACAGGGAGCTGAGTTGGGAAGGGTCACATGAAGGGTCTTTGTGAGGTTAGCAGGTTGCCATTTGCTGTGGGAGGTAACCTTCAACCTGCAACTAGCGAGCTGGTTGCTTTTTCCAGATGTATGTGAGGGGCAACATGGGGCAACTCTTGTGAAGAGTTCGACGTCGATGTGGGTGGTGAAACAATTAAGGCCCCGGGGTGCCTCTAGGCAGAGAAGCGGCGTGAGGAAGGCTGCCAAGTGCACGTTGTCTTGCAAATGCTGGAAGTCTACAACGAGAAGCTGCTCGGCCAACCACAATCTGGTGGAGGGGTTCCCCAGATTGGGCGAGGAGGAGAAGCAAACAATGGCTTGGCCTAAATAATCTCTACAGGTCCAAAAACCCAATAAAGCCTGATCCTTTACCTCATTGACTAGTGGTTTTACTTGTGTGTTTCTCGGGGGATGATCAAATCCAGCAACATGAGGTCCAAGGTTGCATGTAGGGAAGATATCAACGTTTGGAGAATTGGTTGGTGCTCGGCCTAGAGACTTGGAGGTCGGAAGGTCCAGTTGCAAAAATTGTTCTCCAAGACAGGAATGGCCAGCTTTGTACAGTGGTTTGTAGGGTCGTTTCCACGCTCCTTTTGCAGCCCAGCTTGAAAACTGGGAATTGCTGACGCGATGTCAGGGAGGGTTACATCAAGCCGACTGCAACCTGCCAAAGTGTTGGAATTCCCAGATTTGACTGACATGGTCGAATGCGTTGGCTCATGTTTGTTCCAACAAGCTATGGTTCCCAGATTTATATAACGGCTCAGCTTGATGTCCATTTCACCAAGATGTGATCCATATCCATAGCCATAGCCCTTGCCTTCCAAGACCATTTTAAGGACATGGTTGACTCTTGTTTAATATCCTAAAAACCTTAGTAGAAAACATTAGACAAATGGTTGTTCAGGATCTTAAAATCAATTGTTGGAATCCTTGGGGTAGTGTATCCTACCCCTACACAGCCCATAGCCTTCAAAGACCACCAAAAGAAAGGTTGACCTGGTTATTGTGTAGTCTAAATTCCATTAGTCAAAATACTTACTTGGCAAAAGAACAGTATTGCAAATCAGTAGTGGTTTTTGGTGCTTGGATTTATGAAAAAAGACAACTCGCGGCGGGACCCAGGTTGAATGACCTCCTGGTAGAGCCTGACTCCGGGCCCACGAATGCCTCACCGGGCATGGTCAAGAACAAGATCAAGATCCATGTACATCCGGACCGGCCCCAAACACGCACGCGCGCGCGTAGGTTCGTATTGCGCGCGTACCGGGCCGGTTTTTGTTGGGGCGTTCCTTGGGGTGCCATGTTTGGCAACCCTTGTCGCGGTGTGTGTTATGTTTCTTCTTTCCCCGAGTGCCGGGGGCCTGAAGCTGCGTGGAGTTGCTTGGGATGGATGGTGCCAAGGTGTTAGAGACGTTCTGCTGCAGAATGCAGGTTCTTCCATGCAATGAGGATGCACTGAGCGCTGACCCGTCCCAAGACAAGCGAAACAAACATGTATGGGTGCCCAGTGCCCAATGCAGACTAGGAGCTTGCATGGGTGTTAGGTTGAGTCCAAATCTACCTGGACCCTTTGCTCGTACCTCACCAAAGAAAAAGGGCAACCTGACTCATATAGGTTTATATACCCAAACCATCCATATACGGACTAGTTGCCTACATTTACAGCATTTATGACCCTAATGTATGTAACATTATGTAAGATGTAACTGTTCCACGTAATGGCAATGGAGTTAGTCATGGTTCATTTGATTTGTGTCACTCCACGTTCTAAAGGAGTATCGTCACTGAAGACGTCTCCGGGCCTCCGGGTCTCCAAGAGCTTTGACTCGCGGGTCTCCACGCTCTTCAACCGCTGGCAGGAGCTGGGCGTGTACCTCACCAATGCCACCGAGGCCCAGGCACGAGAATCCTTCGCATCGGCGTCCCCGGTGCAGAAGGGTCAAGAGCATTCAAAAGCACCCGGATCTGTGGGCGTCTTTGTTTTGCAGAGGCCCAGCTTATGGAGGTACATGGAGCTTGATTCAAGCAACTCACACATGTTGAAAGCGGCCTTTCTTGGCTCTCGGCTTTCTCAGTGCTTTCCGGACCACCCCAAGCCCGGCCGCCGAGAGTCTGGTGGGCCTCCAGCATCGAACTTGTTGCTGGGCCTTCCGCCAGCTTCGTGAGGTACGTGACCTTTTGAAGGTTCCGAGAAAGTGACCCTGTTGGAGGCTTAAGTGACCGAACCATCCGAACCAACCAGGTTATCAAGTACGGTCACTTTGAAGAACCAGGCAGGCAAGAATTCGTTGAGATGTGTTCTCGGTTCCTTAAGCAAATCCAAGTTGCAAAAACAGGGAACTGGAGTTCACCACCTATTTATTTAAGAGGAGCATGGTCATCCAAAGAGCCATGTGATCCACTTTTCGCAACGTGTTATTGGTAGACGACAGGGCAAAAACCTTTTTGTGATGCAACGACCCAGACAAAAATTGAAGATGCCAACTAAATCGGTTGCGCTCATGATTGAATCTTTGGCGCTTGCCAGGCTTGCAGTCAGGCCTGCCAACTTCTTAAGGTTTTGGGCACTTCTTGCCCAGAGTTCCCCTTCAGTCACCCAAGGAACCAGGTCAAACCTGATCAAGCTCTGGTCCAAGGTCAAGGTGCACTTGAGCTTGACCTTGAGCCTCAAAAGCCCCGGTCCAAAGGGAGTCTTTTGTCCAAAAGGGTCACGGCTTTGGCAGAGCCCACCAGGTGTCCACCGCCGAGGAGTGCATCAAGACGTGGCTGGGACGGGTGAGCGCGGCCGAGGGTGGGACGGTCTCGGCTTCTCAGCAGGCCAAACATGTTTTGGGGCACATGGTCTGTGCCAAGAGGGTCTGTACTATGGTGGCCCCTCAACCGCAGGTCTGTGCCAAGGGCCTTTTGTGTCATGGTACAGAGGTTTCAGAGGTTCCATGGCACAGATGGGGGTCCACATCAACCACCTCTGGTGGTTTGTGGGCACCGGGTGCGTCAGGCACGCTGCAAATGCACGCCAATGCTATGTCTTCAGTGGCATACGTAGCTTAAGAAGGTCTAGAGCCCAAGAAGAATGTCCAGAAGCTATAGGCCTGCTACACTGGACCATTGTTGGGCAGGATTCGCGGCAGGGGGGCCATCTTGGATTCTCTTGTTTTTTCCACACGCGGGGATTCCTGGGCGACTGGCCCCAAGACTGGCGGGGCGCGGTGCAGACCTGCCCAGCCCACTTGACACAAGTGGTAACCAATGGGTGACCAACAGTGCAGGTGGTGACTGAAAACCACCTCATTTGTGACTCCTGGGTGGGAATGTGTGTGTGTGTGTTATTGTTTGTTCTTCGGGCCTTTTTGGAAGGTTCCACTCCTTGGTGCAACTCCACCGAGAAGGCGCGTAGGTTCCGGTTGTGAACCACCAGTGCGTTCCGATTCTCGCACCTGAGGATTGGTTTTGGCAACACCATGAAGGCCGAGAGAGAGAAAGGACCAGCTTTCGCACTGAAGGGGGCAAAAAAAGATGAGAACTCAGATCCTGGTGTTTGGCAGTATTCTTGTCGACAACCTCGTTGGTTGAAATACAATACTATATAGACTACTATATATTGTCGTTTTCCTGTGTTTTCTTCATAACCAACGCAAACTCGGCTCAATGTTTTGTGAAACAGTTGCACACTTGCTGAGCCCCCCGCGATTCAGGGTGCTTGAAATCTGGCATGTTGTGCTTCCCAGCTCGCTAAGATCGATTTGCTCGCAGTGGTTGGGTGATAACGGTGGTTAGGAGTTGGAAGGTGAGGCATCGGGGAGTCCTGCAAGACATATCCAAGACCCACAAGGAACATCAAGGAACCCAAGACATGGATGCATCAGTAGATCCTAGGCAGCCATAGACATGCCGCGCCGTATACGTCGTGGTCCTAGGAACACCGGGATGAACCGAACGAATGGTTGATGGGGCGTGGTGTGGCCAAGACCCGCGATCCCCATTCGCGATGGATCCACGGCTGCCCTTTGGGCAAAGTGAGGGTCGAAACGACCTTCTCCAGGGGTACTGTAAGATGCCACGAGCTAACCGACATGTTGTTCGATGTTGAAACATGTTGGCACCACCCAGCGGACCAGCAGACCAGGTGTTTTCCAATGAAACACGGGCACCAGCAGTCACAAGACGGGGTGCTGAATGGAGGCAGTCGGGTTGCCCAGCTACTCCACTAACTGGATGGGACTAAAAACCACTCCGACATGTGACTCCAGGTAATCAGGTTTTCCCTCCTCACCAACTTGGAAGTCGCGCCTCGCCGGGCCACCGCCAGGTAGTGCACGCCACCGCGATGAACGCGCAGAGTTCTCGCGGCCACACCATTTGCAAGCTGAAAATGTTCACTCAGGTCCGGGAGCCGGGAGTGGCTGGGGTGGACTCTGGGTGTTCTTGTCCAGTTTCCAATCAGAGAGAAGTCGAACTGCCCAGTCCCAGGCATGATCCCAGATGTCAAGGACCACAGCCGGAAGAATCCAGGGTTTCTGAAGGGGACTGCCCCAGTTGTGGCCCCCAGATAGGACGCTGTCAGATTCAACGGCGGTTGATTCTTGGCACAGGGCATCCAGGCAATTCCCACGAGAGCTCGCTGGGAGTCCCGTCGTGGTTCCAGGCAACGACTAAAACCATAGATCAAACGAATCCCTGGTTCCTTACTACTCGTGGGAACTGCCTGGGATGCACTGGGTGCGGGTAGAAGTGAGAAGTGCTGCACTGGGAGGCTCGGAACGAGGGCATCCCGTGGGGTCCGTGGAGCTTCGCATTCGAATGAAACTGGGGTGTTTTGCCAACCACGGACGGACCAGTGATCCAATTGGTGCTTTAGAAAGGCGAGTGAGTGGTTTGCAAAAGACGACTGGCTGAGGGAGAATAACTGACCGAGTGATCAATCCCAGACTACATTGACTCCTAGTGCACCAATATAGGTAGAAATCATGAGAATCATATAGACTCACGCTATAGATAGAGTGTTTGGGAATGAACTGAACCAAACCCGAACCGCCCCGACCAGACCCGAAACGCCAGGGCGGGAAGGACAATCAGATCTCCAACGCAGAGGCGTATGATATGACCACGGGCCGCCGGACGAAAGGTGATGTTCTAACCCCTAAACCATCCATGCATGGACATGGAACAAATAGTTGCCTACATTTACTGTACTCACTTATGACCTTGATCTACTTGGTATCAATCTTTGGGCCAGCAAGGGGTGACAAAAAGCATTCGGGAGTGAGAATAGTTGCTCCAGAATCTCCAGAATTGTTGTTGTTGTTGTTGTTGCTGCTCGGCAGCGTTTCGCAAAGCGACTGTTGTTCGAATGCAAAGTGAGCACATTGTGAACACAATCCGGACGCAAGGAATTACAATGCTTGTTCATGTTTGGTTTTTCACTCCTGACTTTGGAGTGCCTCTTTGTCACTTGTCACACCACTTTCCGGAGTGATAATTATCACTCTTCGGGGCTTTTCGAGGGTACCAGGTATGTAAACTATTCCAGTCCCATGGAGTGTTGGGGAACTAAGTTCCAAATCAGGGCCACTTTGGGGATGCGAGCTTTGAGCTTTTTGGGTAAGGTCAGGGACTACTGGAGGGGTGCATACTCTTAGGCGACTACTGTAAACAGACAACGCAATGTCGACTTTTGATGAACTAAAAGCCCTCTTGTCAGAATGGTTTATACCCTAGGGATATAATGTTTTACATCTCCATGATAAATCATGTATTTTTCATCGGACAGTCTGACAGTCTACGGCCTTCTCCCCTGAAACACCAGGGATCTGGACCCGAAATCTGCGTTCGGGATCAGATTCTGCAAGGGATCTTAAGGGTGGAAGTGTTTGTGACCATGTTCGAAACCCTAAACTTCATCCTCTACTACAAAATGTCCATGGTGAAAATGACGGACCATGTTTTTTTTGTGTTTTTCATTGTTGTTTTTACGAAGTGAAGAGCATCGAACATTCGGCGCAGTGGAGCTCGGAGCGGCGACCAGGTCTACTTCGCGGATTTGGCCGGGCGCGAGAACGAGAAGGACACCCAGGTGGAGGGCTGTTTGGGGTGTTTGGGCCAGGACGGACGGCATATTTGGAGTTTTTGATGTATGACCCCTCCAATAATTAATTTGAAGGGGGTGGTTGCAGACGAAATAGTTGTTCTCAATTATGTGTTTTTCTCCGACACCTTGTCGACAATTTTGGGAAACACCTAAGTCGGATAAAAAGAACTACATTTTCCCAGTGTACTTTGGATCAAGCTAGGGTCATGTCTACTTAGAGAAATAGTCAAGAGGTGGTGGAGAGGTCGCACACCCCTCAATTAATTATCACGGAGGGCCGGGGTGGGAGAAAGAGAGAGAGAGAGAGATGAACCAAAGATAACCAAAGTAACTAAGGACGTCGATGCGAGTTTCAGAATATTCAGGGTCTAAGTGTATAACTCTAAGACTATAAGTTTTATTTAATGTTCCCAGTGTACTAAAACTGATCGACCCCTCCCCCAGAGTCCAACACCCCCCTGAATTATATAATTTTTGTTGTTTGGTTTTGAGTGTGATGGCTGCTTTCCTGCTTGGTTTGCATGCGGTGGCCACTTTCCTGCTTGGTTTCTCATACGCTGCTCACGTATGACGTTGGCGTGGCTGTGGGTGGGGGGTTTGCCACCTGAAATTAAGACAGAGGGGTTTGTCAGGTGTCGATGGGGTGTCGGGGGTGTAGGGGGGGCCCGACCTGCAACATGTATAGAAAACGAGTCGAGGTCAAGGCACGCTTCGAGTAAATTCCCCCAAATCAGGTATGTACCCTTTAATGATAATTCGTATATGTAATTGAGGGGGGCCCAGGGGCCTATCTAAGGCAGTTTCTTTTTTTAAACATTGGAATGACGTGATGTGGAGGTAATTTGTGTATAACACCTTTTATGATCTTCCAACGGTGCCTAAAGGTTTCTGCCGTGGCATCTATCAAGCTAGCCTGAAAGGCAGACATGTTGCATGACCATTTCGTTGGAAAAGCGCTCGTGGCGCCCGAGAGCCGAAGTGGACATGAAGGTCTAGCCAGAGCAGATGCCCGACATAACCCAGCCACCAATGTCCCCCAGACCCTCGACTTAGAAGGGAGAGAGAGACAGAGAGAGAGGTACCCCGGGCCCAGGTGACGGGTCCTATTTGACGGTTACTTAACCTCACTTGGCAACTAGTAACAGCTGTGCCGCTGTACCTCCGGGCGCTGGGGATAGGATCTCCGCCCGCACAGGTGACTGGGGAACGTTTCGTTGAGCTGGGCTTCATCAACAAGAGCCGCTCGGCGTTTGCTGCGGCTGTTCTCTGCGTTCTTTGCGTGCGGTGTCCTGTTTGGAGATCCCTATATAGGTATAGTCAGTGTATGTCAGAGTAGTCAGCCAGGACAATGATGGTGCTGGCATGTCCCTTTCAGCATGGAGCAACCTGTGTGAAAGCGCTAGGTTTGCACATGTTGAGGCACGTTTCGCAAGAAGAGCACCCTTTGCAATCCTCTCTCTTCTATCAGCCCACCGCGTGTTCAGGTCGCTGGAAGTCACAGCATGGTTTGCACACTGGTTTGGGAGTAGGTATCAGACGCACGAACTGAGGGAGTCAGTCAGTGTGGTCACAGATCCCGAGTGTTGGAATCGTTGGAAGGCAGCCGGCGCGCAAGGCGCAACATTGCCTAGATGAAGATGATGAACATGTTGCCACCAAGCAAGGAATCAGTATGCTGGGCATTAAATACAACTGACGTAATCCTAATTGATCCTAAGTGTATTTCTTCTAGTCAACTTTGGGGGCTGGGAGAGTTGTTGTGAATGTTTGGGTCTATGTGCTGCCAGCCTTTTTGTAATCGATTTGCCAACTTGCCCATTGAACAACATCGCATCTAACAAATATAAACATGAGAAAAACATGAACAACCTGAAAACAGCACATGTTCTTCCGGCCTCTTCAAAGGCATGAGTTCGTTGGCATGGAGGTCGTTCCTGTTATTTGCATGAATTCATGCCGTTCCTTCGTTCAACAAAAACCGCGCGTGGATGGATGAGCTGTCCGCGGCAGCGAGGCCTGCATCACTTGGCCAACTGCATCCGTGATCTGGGTCAAGCGCCCAAGCGCCGCAGGAGTCTCACCGAGCCGCCAGGGGACCCGACAGGGGACTCGAGAGTCTCTCGGGGAAAGGGCGGTCAGCGGGTTCAGGGCACATGAATGATTGCATGACTCAATGATTGTTTTGGGTCATTCTCTGATAACTCTATAGAATGAAAGGGTATATTATTTTTAAATATGTTTGAACCTGAAGGGTGGACTGTAAGCATACCTTATCTTCCAAAAGCACATGCACATGGCCGTTTAGATTGAGGACACAACGACATAAATTTGAAGATGTGTTTAAGTGTTCTCAGCCGCTGCTGAGTGTCCACTTGATCCATTCCACATTTGGGGCGCTTTGGTCCCTTTTCTCCAGGTTGGCACAAACCCACAGGCACACACATCCTAAAGACCTGTTGAGGAGATGTGGATACCTAGTGGAAGTTCTGATCCACTGACTTCCTTTTTCCAACAGGTTTTTTTGTTTATAACCAGATCATCCATGGATCCATGGAATAGTTCATACCGCACTTGGATTTACATGGATTGACCTGGACCTTCGTGTCGGGGTGTTCAATGGACAGCCACAGATCTTGTACTTTTATCAGGTAGTCCATTGGAGACTCCGGACGTTGCATTGGAAGGTGCTGGTGCAGTTGCCCCATTGATGACTCCATACATGGTTTGGGATGGCCCACTCACATCGTCCGGAGCGTCTCCCGTGGCGACGAACGCGACGCGACGCGGACGCGACGCGGACGCGACGGTCAGGTCGAGCACCAAGAAGGCTCCGCCGGTCCAGCCCAATGACATGTCCAAGTCGCTTGGGGCATGTCGGAACATCGGAATGGGCGTAAGGTCGGGATGGAAGACGGAAGGATTCCGGGCGGCCCTGGTTTGGAACTGATCTATACGTTCATAGGGGAAGCCTTAATTTTTTCTCATACATGACAAGTCATATAAGGTAGGTTTATCATGTTTTATCCATTCTACATTCTACTTGACGTGTCACAGGCCAACTTCTTGGAGAAATCATGGGAAGCAATCTGGAAGACGGTTTCTGTGATACAACAGTTGTCCAAACGCATTAATCAAAACGCCGTGCTACAACTAGCCACGGTAGGAGTGGGATGCATGCTGGAGTCCAATTTGATCCACAATCAATGTGGTCAAGGTTTCCTGCCAGAACTTATCCCAGACACTCCATGTATTATCACATATTTATATGGATTCGTCTACGTCCAGGAGGGCAGGACAGACGTACAGTCGCTTCCAGCCATGTTTTCTTCTTGGATTTTGACCAAAAAGGGTGCAAGACTGTGGGCTGGTCATGTTTTCAATGCACGTTCCTTGAACAAAAAAGGGGACTGAGTAGGTAGATCATGGTAGATCTAATCCACTCACTTCCCCCTGCAAATCTATACAGTATAAGGTAGTATAAGGGATCTATAAAGGAACCTACTAGGTTATTGCAAGAACATGTTTTTTTTTGGTTAAGCCACCTCACTGAGCATTTCGAGTTTTCATCTTACTCGAGGATAGCACCCCCGACCTCGCCACCAACCGAGGTTCCGGAACTCGAAGCTGACCTTGCCACTGGGGCCGAAGACGAGGGCGGGGGGAGGACATGTGGCCGGGTGATGGCGCACTTTGGATGTGCACTGCCTGGACCCGACTTCAAGTACCCCAGAAAATGGGAAAAACCTATGTTTACTACATATTTCATGGATTTTCATGGTAGTACGTACTCATGTTTGCAGGCACGAACTGAGACTCCAGTGTGGATGGACCGATGCAACACTCCAACACTCCAACCCTTCGATCGGCGTTCCACGCGGGCGGTTTCGCACATCGGCTGGCCATCGCCTCGACGTCCAACCGGAGGCTGTTGTCCAATGCCTTGTCGGGGAATTCCCGGACCTCCATGATTGGCACTTTGAGCCCTGCAGCTGCAGCCTCAGCGATGTGAGTTCAAGGCATTATCTTGGTGCCCTTTTGATCCCTTTTGCCAAGAGATGTGATGCATGTGATTTTTGTATGGGCAGTGCTTTTGGAATTGTCCCCCAACCAGTGAGTGGCACAGCACAACCACAGAGTCGCTGACTTGTGGTGAAACCAGTGCCTCACGTGCCGAGCGCTTCAGCGCTTCACCCGTGCCAGCCTCTTTCGCCCCGCTGAGCCTTCGAACTTCGAAGAGAGCCACAATACACTGAAGCGCGGCTGCTCAGAACTGGGCTCCGTTTTTTTCAGAGTACTCTTTTTGGGGGGCAGCCGCCATTGTGACACCCATTGGATGGGTCATATAGTTATATAGGTCACATGGATGATGGATGGGCTGTTTGAGTGTGAATGCTTCTTCCAACCTCGTCCCAGTCCTTTTTGGATGCACTAGACGACCGGGGGTGGGCGCTTTGGACGGCGCTAGCGGCTCATGAAAGCTATCCACAGATTCCTGGGTGACATGGCGATGATGCGGACGACGTACACTTCGAGTCACCATCTCAGCCATTGCATGAGTCATGACACTTAAAAAAATAAGAATCATGGAAGTTGAAAACCACCTGTTTGTAGAGGAAAAGGGTTACCCAAGGGGCCCTGCCATCCAGCTGGGCTATGGATTGGCAGGCATTCCGAAAAGTCGTCCAATTCAGTTGCAGCTGTGGTAAACTGCACCATGGAGGGTACGGACGTACCAACAATAAATGCCTTGATACTGGATTTGAGGGCTTTCTACTGTCCAAAGTCATATGTTTTCCATCCAAATCTCTACTACTCCACCCCACCGATCTCCTCCACCTGCTACCACCCACCTGCCACCTTCATCCACCTGATCAACCTCTCCAGATCGCCGTGAAACCGCCATCTCGGAGGAAAAACCGGTCGCCTCTCGCCTCGCCATTGGCGCCTCCTCCCAGGTTCGCCAGCACGGTGAAAACCATCAAAGTCCAGGCCAAGGCGACCAAAGCCGTGGACAAGGAGCGAAGCGTCCCGGGCCCACGTGGCCGCACGCGGCGGGCGCGGATTTTTGAGCAGACAAGCCCAGCCGAGCCGCAAAAGATCTGAAAGTAACAATGCCCAGACACTCCATGGGACTGGTATATATGCCTACATTGACCCCGACTTCAACCACCCCGATGTATGTAAATATGCCAGTCCCATGGAGTGTTTGGGATGGGATTGGAAGATTCTAGCTCCATGGTGGGGTGGATATCTTTTGGGGGATCGATGTATTCAGTAGCTGGGGGTCCACAGCTGCTGACTTTTATGGCACCGTTGGGGAGGGTTGCCCTGTGCTTGTGGAGGGCGGGTTTGCCCAGGAATTGTTGTTGGGCATGGTTGCAGGCCAAAGCTGGATCAAACATTTTTAAACTTTAAGCTATATAAGTTCAGCTCAGTCCCTAAACAGTGGAAGATATTCAATTCAGGGATTTGACACGCGGAGTGCTCGGGTCGGGAGTCCTGTAGGCATGTGTAGGCCAATGTTTTGTGGGGCAGGGCATCCCTATGTATATAGGAGATCTCCCCCGGATCAACATACTCAAACACTTGCCACGGGCTGACATGACCATCAGATGGAAGTTCCACCAAACTTGCTTCGTGGTTTGCTAGCTGGCTGTCTTTTCCTCCTCACCATGAATAAGGTGCTCAAAAGGTGACACTTCACCATCTTCACCCAGCTCATCCCAGTTCCATCCAGTTCCTACCTTTGTTTCTCCTGGGGTCAGGTCAGTATGCCATTCCGGGATAGACACCATCCGTTCCGGGTTCATCGCCAGGACGCCCTGGTGAAGGAGCTGAAGAGTGAAATCCAAGAGCTCCGGAAGCAGCTGGAACAGGCTTGGTTTTCAGGGCTCCGACCGGCCCACACGACCGGATTACACTGGATGGCTCCGGTGGAGCCCTTTTCTCTCGAGACCCGGTCAGCTTCAGCTGGTTCGCTTGGAGCACTGCGTTGATCCAGCCCAGGGAGTACTGAGTTGACACCTGGGAGGAGGCTAGGAGAGTGGGGCAGGACGCAAATAGAAATAGCTGACATGAGGTGCTGTAGATGAATTCTAGCATGTGGCTCAGGACGTAGATGATGCGGAGAGTGCTGGTGGATTTAGGAGAAGCTTGGTGTTCTCATGACATGCGATGCAGGTGATTGCTCATCAAGAGCAACGACATTGTTTTGGATTATATAATCCTATTCTCAAGGTCCTTTGGGATATTAAGGCGGCAGACTCTAACAGCAAATCGATTCACTGCTTCCTTGTAACAGGATAGGCACCAGACTTAAGCAGCAGCAGAGTCACCAGAGCTAGTTTGTGCCACATTTTTGCGGAGTGAAGGTTTTCACCTTTCTGTACCGGATGTTTTGTTTTACACTCCGACTCACTAACATGGAAGTGGACACCCCAAAGGCCATTTTCAATTTCCATGTGATGTGTTCGTCGGAGGGTATCATTTTGGACCCAACCCTGCTAGCACCTTGTAGACTGTAGACCACAGCCACGAAGAGTCATGCCATTGTGCTGTAGAACACCATAACCTTGTTTGTGTCGAGCACTCAGAGCACCAGGCAAAGGAGAAGCACGATGATGAGGCCAAGTCGGACTAGTGAGTTGCGCATTTGGTGGGGCCCATCACATGAAGCAAGGCCCGTCTATGTTATTCATTGTCCCCACACCCCGTTCTTTTTTCGAAAACAGACAAGTTTAACATGATCAAGCGGGCTCACATTAGTTGAGTGATGATGGTACCGTGGTGTTTATTTTTTTGTGGGGGACCTGACCCAGCTCGTGAAACACTCATTGACTATCATTGACTGCATATACACATCTACGGTGTACATCCAAACACTGGAATATAGGCATCAATCATCCTACATAATCCTACATAGGCCCCCGAAAGCACCCATTTGATCAGTCCATATGTCAGTCCGTTTGTGGATTGGTCGAGGCTGAATGGATTATAGGAGACTGAACGAAGCAGGTGAGGTTTGCCTCACCCAGCTGAGCCCGCTTTGAGGGGTTACTGCAAGCTGCAAGCAGGAAGAAACACTCCATCATATAATACTGTATACACCTTCGGTTTGTCCCGGTACCTGTAGCAGTCAGTAAACTACTATATATATATAATATATACCTGATTTTCGAAGGGCCTGCAACCTAACCATCATCATCCGAGCCCTGGATCTAATGATATGCCCAAATGTATTCAAAATCAACATAGATCTCACATGTCCAAGCGGCCCAGCAGATTGGCCCCAGCCCAGCCTCGAGGCAGCGCAACAGATTCAAGAGAATCTGGAAGCCAGCAAAGCCATTTTTGCCGTGGAAACGTGTCTCGGATCATGGAGAGAGTGCATGACGAGAGTGAGAGAGTGAGCGAGTGCATGAACGAGTGAGTGAGCGAGTAGTGAGCGAGGGAGTGAGACAAAGAAAGAGAGAGAGAGAATCATTTAGTTTTTGGATGCAGATGGCTTTGTAGAGGGAACCAAGTAGCTTTGGCGCTTTCATTTTCCCTAACCACTTGTGTTCGAACTCTTTAGATGCTCAGCGAGCCATGACCCTTTCGCTCGCTCGCATCCCAGGCGTGATTGGGTTCACTTCCAGGAGGTGAGACCTCGAGTCCGGAAACGGTGGTGTGGTTAAAACTACACTCGCGAACACTGAAAAACACTCATGGAAGCAGATGGCATGGCCCGGAAAGGATGACTGTTTTCCAAACATGACTATGATTTCAGGGAGTGTAGCTGCTTGGTCTCACAGCTAGGCTTGCAAGGTGCTTGGAGTTTGCCAGGAAACCATCCCTTCTCATGCTGGGGTGGACCAAGGAGAGATGCATGAGCTTACCTTGCAGATGCCCCCCCAAATTCTGAAAGCACACCGGGCTCGTGACCTCGCGAGCATGTTTCTTGGCATGTGATGTCATTCCTTTGGGGGTCCAGCTGCCACTTTCCACTGCAGTTCGGATTCCCAAATACCCTGCTTTGCCCCTTTATGGTTGTGATTGTTGATAGTCCCGAACTGAGCGTTCCTGCCCTAGGACCAGGACAATGACTTCGCTTGTTTACGATTCTGATCCTGGTTCGTTCTCAGCCCACTCCAATGACCGTCGTCGTGGCGACGAATTCGGCCCGCTCCCTCCGCCCACCCGAACCACCCCTCCCTAATCGAACGCGAGAAGGAGACGGAGCAGCGGCGGAAGCGCTCGAAGAGGTCCAGTTTCCTCTTGTCGCCCGGGAGCCGAGGGAACTTCGTGACGATCGCGTCGCGCGGCGAGTGGACGGGTGGGCGGCAGTGGGGGCGGCTGGAGTGGGCCGTGGGCGAGGCGAGTTACGGGCGGGGTGCCAAGAATCAGTGGTACGGACGGGAGCAGGCGGGTAACATGGGTAACAAGTAATTTGGAGGGGGGAGTATATAATTGATTAGTGTAAAGCAGTGGATTTTTGTTATCCCAAGTCCTCCGGGGGCCAATCTCAGCATGAACTTTCATCTCAAGACCGACCCAGTCAGGAAAGTTCCAAGACCATTCTGACGGTCTCTCGTCACAGGGGATGTTGGGTCATGACTGCATATTGATGTATTTGTAACCTTGGCGATGCACATTGCTTGTTCCCCAGTCACATTTGACGACTGATAACTGATAACATAAAAATGTGTGTGCACAGAAATGATCGCAAAATATAAAGTTAAAACTTATGACTGATGCTGAGATCAGCAGCCCCATGTAGAAACGAGGGAGCCAAACTTGCTCCACTGTGTTTTTGAACAGGCATGGGCAAGGTCCGGCACCTTCCCACATAATCTTCACTTTTGAGCCCGTGGTAGAACCTGCTGTTCTCTCCTTACCTTGTTGGCAACAAGTTAATCAAAATAGACCCTTGAGAATGACAATTTACGTCAGCCTTTGACCACCCATCCCTTTAAGGAGCTTTGCTCAGAGGTGCAAAGGCACTAGAAGATATTAACTGAGTTTCTTTCGGTTTGAATGTAGGTCTTCCTGGTTCGGCCTAGGTGTTCATGCACGGTTTCTAATGAGCACACGCGACGCAACAGCCACATGAAGAGCCACCAGCGATCCACAGGAAACCATGTCCATCAGCCAATGGGCTGTCCACAATAGGTTCAATCCACGATGATGGTTACCAGCCCAACATTCTCAATCTATCAGTCTGGGACTGCTAGATCAACAATCATGAGTCATGACAATCCAGAGTTGCGAACCCAAACCTAATTACTGTACGAATGGATGTTCCGTTCAAGCCACATGGAACTTCGGTTTGCTGGGCCACGGCAGAAGTCAGAAGTCCAGCTTGGATGGCAAAGCCAGCAAGTTGACAGTAGGCCCTCATGCAACCATCCTAAGTGGCAAGCTTTGTGGAAACTCGTTCATACTTGCGGAGTTCTTTAAACTAACAAAATTATGTTTAAACATGAAATCGATACGTGCGCCACAATGTTCTCAATTATCCATGCCACAATATAAAGTTACTTCCTGACATATACAACTTCCAATAGCTATGTGATTACCGGAAGAATCGTGCACTATGTTTCAGATCCCTGTCTCAATGATCAGACTTTCCCTGTGTGAGATTTGTGTGGATTGCACGTGATATGATCTTGGTACTGACCATTTCACCACTTGGACCCAACTCTTCTCCGACTTCGGCCGCTCCCGAACCCCCGGAACCCTTCTGACAGGGGTGGCCTGAACTCCCCCATCAGATCATGCTTTGGACCATGCTATCGGCCAAAAGCATCCTCAGCATGGGACTGGAGGATTTTGGAAGATAATATACCCTAGGGCTCCAACCACCGAACCTTACAGAGGTGGGCCAGGAGCCCTGGGGAGTGATATAAATACAAACCAGGAGCAATGGGTGTCCAGTCTAGAGTCTAGAGATCCCTAAGTAGTGACTACTTAGTAGTGTCGGGTAGTCCAGCCAGGGCAGTCCAGGTGTGTAATATTACAGTAATGCAAATATCCATGCAATGACTCATTTGGAGGAGCGAGGGGGGGACAGACTATTGGCGGAGGTTTTCCAGTGCATTCCCTTGGTGATTGTTGATGACAAATCCTCGCACCACTCGAACCCACAGCGAAGCCAGCATAACTCTAGGCCTCATCATGGAATTTAATGACGAGTTGTTTTAATCATCAATCCTAGCATACGAGCAAGAAATGGGTGTGCAATTGTCCAATGAACATGCACTACCCTTCACACCTTAGGGACCTGGATGTGTCGTTGTTTTTTTTTAAATGTTTTAGGGCTTTTTGGATGTTTTTGGATGGTATTGGTATTCATTTCATTGGACCAATGTATATCTGACTTGGAGCTGTCCTATTGCCTGCAACAGTCAGTAAACAATTGTCGCTCTTGTTGAACCAGGCCTGGTACCTAACCATCACCATCCACTGTTACAGGCAATAGGATAGACCCAATATATGACACGTATTGGTATTTGAGCTCATGGTAGTACTACCCACTGGGTGGTCCTGGGATGTTGAGTCGCTCGGTCCCTGGGACCTCGTCGCGAGTCGCTCGTCAGCGACACAGGTCCCACGACATGAACGAGATGCCGTTGCCCTTTTTGGCCAACTACTCCGAGGCGATCCAAGAAGCACCGAAGCATGGAAGAATGATGGGAACTTGAAGGATGAGGTTTCTCTTTTGTTGGGTAGGTCAAGCATGCTTGAAGCATATACATGTGTATGATCCATATAGGAAGATGGAAGGTGTATGACATGTGCAGTTTGACTTCAAGGTTGGTTCATGTACGGGGTCGGAACCCTCGACCCAAACATCAAACGTGTACCTGCACCAAACGTCAAACATGGCGACTGACTATATGGGTGTGCATCTTAACAGGGAGACACCCAGGCCCTGGCTGGGTAGACAGATGTAGACAGGCTTATGTTCAATTCTTCCAGGGCCGAACTGGGATGGTCTCCAAATTTCAACACACGCATTCGTTACCTTGTGTTGCACTGCACGACACCCGTTTTCCGTGACGATGGGGAATGGAGTCAAAAAAGACATCTTCGGAAGCGGATCTATTTTACCACCTTTGAGGGAACTGTTCCACATACTCAGGTTGAGCACTGTATATAATTATGTTGGTATAGCCGTCAATTTGGGCAATATTTGGTACCTATTTATCAGATATCAGCATACCATCAGCTCATGTGCCATCAGACACCGTAGAGCATGTTTTTTTTGTGCCAGGATCCTCATTTGGCCTTCAAATTGGTGATGCATGTGTGGAGCCCAAAGATTTTTCTCAGCACACAAATGTGCGGGGTTTGGGAGGGTCGCGGGTCGCGACCATGGAGCAAGAAAGGTTAACTCTGGGGAGGCCGTGCAAGTTGACGACAGGATCTTGGTGGACATATAAGTTTCTTATCAAAGGCCATATATGACAAGTTGGCGGCAGCCGGCGCGACCGTCTATAACCTTCGGTTACCACCGAAGGCCTCCGGCGAGGACACGGGCGCGTGGCCGGCGCCCGGATTTACCAGGCTACCGCCTGCAGCCGCCGACCCCCAAGGGATAGAACCTTAGCGCTAGCCTTGCTCTATGTTAGCCTTAGCCTTAAGCCTTAGCCTTAAGAGTGCAGACCCAACCCAGCACCACCAAAGCAGGTACCCAAAAAGTCGACTTTTTGGGTACCTCCCAGATTTACCATCGGACGTCAGCTCCTGCATGAACCCCGATCATTGCCCAAGAATTTAGACCCAACCCTTCACCACCAAAGCAGGTACCCAAAAAGTCGACTTTTTGGGTACCTCCCAGGTTTACCAATTTAGACCCAACCCAGCACCACCAAAGCAGGTACCCAAAAAGACAAAGCCTAGAGCATTCCTAGGAAAATGCCAGAAAAGCCTTTGAAAATCTCATAAACCAACAGAAAACGTGACAAAATCTACGAAAAAGCAAGGGCATTGGCCGGGACCATGCCGCGACCAGCCCGGGATTCGAGCCCAGGACCATTTTGGACCGTGCTTATTTTCCCGCGCGGGTCGAGAGGGTGCCCCAAGATGTAAATCAATTGGGATGGCAGAATCTTGGACAATCCAGGTCACCATCCGGTCGCTTTTAGGGCAGGATTTCGTCACTGCAACAAGGGTCCGGAGGGGTAGGGGAGGTAAGGTCTAGGTCTAAGGCTAAGGACTAGGTCTGAGGCTAAGGATAAGGCCTAAGGCTAAGGCTAAGGCTTAAGGCTAAGGCTAACATCGACAGTCACGCCTCACCCCACGGTGTGGGGTCGGCGGATTTATATTTTAGTTGTATAATTCTATGAGGTTCTTGCAGGTATCAGGAGGGTTTGTACACCGGACAACGGATGACAATGGTCACGTGATGCCATGGTCTAAAGCCGACACCATGCAATTGATGTAAAAGATATGGAGGCTTTAAGGAGAAGACAGGGTTGGCTCACAAATGGCGGTCATTCAATTTATGGCCAGTTCACGAACGATTTTATGCAACGTGAACGTGGTTGTTGGACACAAATACCTTTAGTTTTGGATTGGATCACCTTACAAATGTTTAACTTTCGCCTGTTCCGCCCGGTTCGCCCGGCGAATTCAAACACTGCTCTTTGACCGATCACCTAGTTCCCGGACACAGGGCTATAGCCTCGTCACGAAGGACGAGCAATCACTGTAGCTTTCCAACCCTTATACACCCTAAGCTCATCCAAGTGGCTGCACGCAATGCACTCGTCAGTCGATGGATTTCGGGGACCTGCAGAACAAGTCCGGCCCACCGGTCAACCTTGAGTCCTAACGCAGTCACTCCAGTGGAATATATCATTGATATATATATATATTAATATACATACCTAGAGAATCCTGCAGCGTGTCTTTCCGCCGTCATGACAAAACATTGATTTTTGCGCGGCAATTGAAGAAACACGCCGCTTGGCCAGAACCACGCTGCATTCCCAGAAACACGCCGCGACTTGCTTTGAGCAAGCTTCACAAAAACACACTGCACACTGACACGGGCAAACACACCGCAAACGCGGGCAAACACGCCGCAAACTCGGGCAAACACGCCGCAAACATTGTCAAAAACGCTGCATTATATGCTTGATTTTTCGACTTGAGGTCCAGACCCCGAGTTGAGTCAAAATGCCGCAATCCTAGAAACACGCCGCAACCCCAAAAAAGTCGCGGCATGTCTTCAAAACCTGGTTTTTCCTGAGCGGCATCAAAATGTTCATGCCAGTGGAGTCTGTAGGTATACGCACCCGCAACCTCAAATCATTCCGAAATAATGCATTCATAAATTTCTGTGCACTACACGTCTTTCAGAAAAAGACGCCACAGTCAATTTTAAATGCATGTTTTCTGATTGTAGCCATTTTTGCCATATTGCACTTCCAAAGCCTATCATACGGTGACACATGTGAACATGCAGCCATGTCAGAAGTAGTGAGATACCTTCGTGTGTTGAAGTGTGTGTCCATCCCAGAGGAGTGGCGCCCGCTGCTCCCTCAAGAGATTCAGAGCTTGTCAAACCGGCAGGGCTTCATGTTTTGAAGAAAAGCCCCAGGTGACAAATTTGTTCTACCTAAATTTCCGTCCTATTTACACCTTTTTACCCGTCCTATATGCACGTTTTCCCATCCAATACACATCCCTCCCAGTCCATTAGCCTACAGTTACGAAGCTTATGAATCTGTGGTGGGACATGTTCGCAGGATATGTTGGCGAGTGAGTTCAAAAGCTGTAAGCCACAGAGTGCTAGACCCGATCCGTATAAACCTGAAATTGGAGATCCAGAAGTTGAGCTGGAAGAGCAGGCTCCTGCGCAAGTGACAAGCAGGGCCTTCTTGTTTTTCGAAGCAGGACCAGTCGCACAGAATTGTTACAAATTCCTTTCACGTTCACGGATTTTTCTAAGAGTCTGTACGGACACCCTGAGCCCTCCGCCCATTGGCAAGCTCATTTGTCAAAGATTCTCCGTGAGAAGTTGAACGGGATTGAATTCCCTGACATGCCATTTGTGCTCCACTTTGGCCAAGCCTTGATCATGTCAGTATACGTCGATGATTTGACGTTGGCAGGGGTGAAGTCAAAGCACGGTGAGCTTTGGCGTACACTAAGTGAATACGTCAACCTTGACCCTCCCACTGAGTTCGGCAGGGTGCTCGGCAGGAACCACCGTATGGTATGGATGGACGGTAAGAAAGCTCTCCGGATTTTGCTAAGCAATGTGTCCAGCTCTACAGCGATTTGGCGAACAATCCAATCAAGAGCTTTGCATCTCCTTGTTGGGATGAAGGCTCACTCATTGCATCAGATGATGAACCCCGCGGTCAACTTGCACCTCATGCAGCTAAGCTGGTCATGAAACTAATGTGGTTGCGCAGGATTTCCCGGCCTGATGTAATGCTCATCATAAACCTTCTTGCAAAGCATATCACCACATGGTCTGTGAATGATGACCGGAGAACTGCTCGCTTGATAGGTTATATCTGCAGCCCGCTCATGAGTATGCACCAGTCATGTCAATCCAGGACCCTCCTGATATGCTAAGCATTTCATTGTTCTGCGGCGCAGACATGAAGTCCACGTCGGGGTATGTTTTGGCCTTGACTGGACCGTCAAGCTTGGCCTTGCTAAGCTGGGGGAGCAAAAGACAGAGTGTTGTGTCACGGTCCACGACTGAAAGTGAATTCATGTCCCTGTCTTCGTCGCTGTTTTCTGAAGCGCTGCCAACTCTTCATGTTTGGCAGACTCTCATTCCATCGATCAGGCTCGCAATCTTTGAGGATAACTCCGCAGTGATTGCCATCACCGCCAAGGGATATTCAGCTAAGCTTCGTCACTTGGCAAAGAACCACAGAGTCAATGATGCGTCTACCTGTGAGGTGGTCAATGGTTCGGAAGACATTGATATATCAGTCACATAGACACTTCGATGCAACGAGGAGACGTCCTCACGAAGGGTTGAAGCACGATTTGTAGCGCCCTGCGTGCAATGAATGCTGGATGCAAAGCCTGTAGTGCCTAGCCTGCAGGGACCAAGACGCACGCAAGGGTCAGTTCGGCTCCACTCGCGCCTCTACCCACGTTCGTTCGTGCCGTAATTAAATTGTCAGGTCACAGGTGGTTTGCCAATGAACCCACTGTCTCGTGATCTGGAATACTACATGCACAGTAGCCGCGTTGCAGCATGAGGGGGGCTTGAGTTTTGCCACGTATAGCAACCCTCCTCCTATGTGTGCATGCTTGACGCTTTACTGTTCATTTGGCTCAAGTAAAAGAGGCGCGACTGCAGCTGTTACCCGCTGCCCGTCACGACGTCGCGTTTCGCGTTTGTTGTTGGTTGTTGTTTGTGTTTGGGTTCCGGTTCACCAGTGCAAGTTTTGCACACCATTACGCTGGGTATTGTAGAAACATATTTTGACTGTTCGTAAAGCAATCTTTTATTCCGGCATAAAATCATCAAATGTTCGAGTCCTCACTTCACAAGAATAGTATAGAATAGTCATATTATGTCTAGAAAATATGAACATTTGTATGACACATGGTATGGACAATTTTTGTTTTTTTTTGAACAGTCAAAACTTGTAAATTGTGTTGCCTTTTTCTCTAGAACGCTAAGGTCAGGGGTAAGGCCTATTTTGATTACTTTCGACAAATTACGCGCGTCTTTCTGATTTCATAAAGACTTTCCGACTTCATAAAGAAATATGTTCGACATTTCTATTTTAACCTTGAGGGTGGGTGCCCACATTTTATAGTCTGTCCATTGTGCTGCAAGGCTGGTTTGATCGTTTTATAGAAACGTTTGGTGCACCCCTCAACTGGGTGCTTTTAAAATTCACCCGGGGATGTTTATTTTTATTTGTGCCCTGGTCTTGCTGCTCTTCCTGATAGCGCTGGAGTCCACATAATTTCTTGTACAATGTCACCTGATTTTTCCACCGTTTCAACTCATTTGTCCGCTTTATTTTTATGAGATGCCTACACGTTTCCTTTGCAATGAACTCATGACATATCATCTAGCATTTCCGCCAAACTTCTACAACATGCCAGTTGCTGGTACAATTCATGCCTGAACACCTGCCAAGCGAGGTGGGCACTGGGGGGTTAGCACGCATATACAAATTAAATCAACATAATTATTTATTAATTACAGTATGTATATTTTTTTGGTGTCGTGTAACCGTCGGTAAGCGGTTATCACTATAACTTATTGTTATCACCAAAACCGGTACTAGCAATCATATATGACGACGCACCAATATGTTCATAAACCACCGTGCCAGTCCCATAGTGCGTGTTTGGGTAGTCTCAACTTCTGGGTGTGTAGTGACGGAGGACATCGACAAACCAAATCTAAACAAAACAACAACACCAAAAATACATCAGTATCTCCACTTACGTCTTGCATATATGTGTTTACATCCTTTGGTTAACGTTTATTTTGAAGACAACAACAAGAAAGTTGGGGGGTCAGAGGTTTGGCAACTGTCTTTCAGGTGCCCAACGATGGTGTGGAGCGGTCGCTGGGAACAGGCAGGGCAGGGAGACATGCGGTCGCTCGGTGTGAACGGGTTCCGACGTGGAGCGACAGCGGCTGGTCCCGATCGGGTGGCGGAGTTGGATGGAAAAACACATGGGATAGTTAGACCTCATTTTACTGACCCTAGGGCTCCTGGCCCACCTCCTGAGGTTCGGTGGTTGGGGTGGGTGCCAGGGGGGTCTAACCACCGAACCTGAGGATATGGGACAGGAGCCCTAGGGTGAAGTCGATCATGTAAAACACTCTACTCAATGAGGTTTTCAGTGGAGGTTTTACTGGGTCAGACTGGGCCAGTAGGGAATGAACCACGCAATGGCTGAGATGGATTACAGAAGAATAGCATCCCATATGATCCCCCACCACAGTGGTGTGCTCCCTGCCATGCAGTCCTCACCCAGGATTGGTATTGCGGGCACAATAGTTGAACCCATCAATTCAGATCATTTGATTTTTCTGTGTTTTGGGATTCGGAATCCATCTGCGGGTGCCGGATTTGAGTTTGTTCTTCAAGAAGGATCAGATTGGAGAGGCCAGGACCTTTAGCTTGGGGAGGGGAAAGTGATTGATTTCGGGGTGAGAACTCAAAGGTTCATTGTTTGTTCTTGGCCTTGACTGAGCCACGACCCCGCACTGCCAGGGTGATGCAGTTCCGAGGGGATCAGTTACTACAACTATGGCCCCAATGTCGCCAGATAGTTTTTAAATGCCAGTCCCATAGGTCATGGTTGGGGATGTTAATTGTTGAAAACGCGAGGGAGGTACCTGCACCGTGAGTGAGTTCTCCTTGGTTAAGCAAAAAATGTATTGGCAATGTCTGAAGTCTCTTGTTGTTGCTCTCGCTGCTCCACATGCTGCTATTGCTGGTGCTGGAGCGACCGGACCCGCACCGCTCCACAGACAGCGACTGCGCCTTCCGTTTGCCTCCGGGGCTGGGCGTGTCGGCCACCACGGGCTACATCCGCCACGACGAAGGCGGGCAGCCGCCACCGGAGGTGCACGACGAACACACACGCACACACACGGGAAAAGCCATGACATGTTTGTACCGTAGAGATGCCGTTGAATGGTTGGCCATTTTTCTTGGACAAGCCGGGAAAGCAAATGAGTTGATGGAAAACACATTTAGTGGTATTAGTGGTTGCCCAAGTTTGTTGAGCCGCAAAAATCCCTATAGAACCAGACGTCGGGATAGTTTTAACCTTTTTGGCGTCGACCCCGAGTGTGAGCCCCCCTCCCAAACCAACAGGATGATATAACCATTAATGTTTCAAATGAACTTGCTGACCATGTTTTGCTCAGTGTTGACCTACCAATGATAATGCGCCGGTCAGGCACTATTGGATGGGAATATTGTCTATATATAATATAATATTATACATTCCCCTCATGTGACTTATCAATAGTTGGAATCCACTGTTCCAGCCCTAGGGTGTCCACACCCGTTCGCCTTCCGTTTGCCCACTTAAGAAGAATGCTTTCACCCGGCGCTGTAGTCGAAACAAAATCCTCAAACAGTGGTTTTTGCAAGGGGACTCCCACCTTTTCAATCAATGCCAAGACACTCCATGGGACTGCCATACACAGGACTGCCGATCAGGCCAGGGGTGGTGCCAGGGGGGTCTGGCCTGATCGGCATTTATATGGCAGTCCCACGGGTCGTGTCTGGGATGGGTGGGCCAAGAAACCTCGGTCGTTTGTCCGGCCCCGCCTCACCCAGGCCGGGTGCTGCTGCGCCCCGCGCCGCCGCCCAATGGCCACGGCCGAGCGGGCGCCATCGAGGCGCGGCGCGCGTGGCTCGTGTGACGCGCGGTGGTGTGTGCGAGGAGAAGGCGGAAGGAGGATCATTTCATGAGCATGTTGAATCAAGACATGGCATCTTAGAGTGGAGATATCGCATATGATTCATATGATCATGAGTGGGTGTAAATGAGCAGATGTCAATGAAATAATCCGTCAAACCCACAGTGAATCACAGGGGATTACCTGATATATGATTGAAAATAACAAGGGTGGTTTGGCCATTCTGACCGGTGAGGACCGCTTTTATGAGGCGTGGCAGATGGAGATTCATTTTTTTTTGGGTTGTTTGTTTTCTCTGGTGAAGATTAAGATGATGATCACGTGGCACATGGTGGATTATTGCCATAGTGGTTTCAGAGTCTTCGCATGGCACTGGGCACCCGAAGATGTTTGTCGACAGATGGGGGGAAACCATCTAAAGCACCATCCAATTCCCAGACACTCCATGGGACTGCCATATTTGCCTCCTGTAGGTACATATTCCATACATGGATTGTTTTGGATTTGGGGTGTCAGGAGTCACCACCCAGTACATGCCCCACAGATCGATTGTGCCTCGTGCCTTGGCACATCGATGAGCTTGATCACCTCTGCAGGGAGCCAGGGGTGATGGCTCATATGAAGCGACTGCCAGCGTCGGGACGTGCAGGTGAATGGAAGCAAGTTGATCAACGAACAAGAGTTGAAACACTTGGCACCTGGGCACCGTGTGTGAAGTGTTTCCCTCCTTGAGCGCCCGTCAGTTCGTTGGGAGGCAGCGCCCGCCCGCTCCACTCGGCCTAACTTAGGGCGTTGTGGGTTTGGACGTCCTTAGCTCTGTGGGGTCTGACGATGTACTACATATAACAAATACTATATTGCGGGGGCCGTGCTGACCACATGATTAGATGGACTGAAGGTGGAGGGTGACCATCTCATACCATCTCCAACAATTGCCATCCACACTCTTTCAGGCAGTGCATTTGTGGTGGTGGTTCCCAGCACCCCAAAAAGATCATTCCAAGGAGAAGCAAAGATTGATGGAAACTGCTGTTGCCTTTTCACGTGCGGCATCTGAATCGTTATTAACCCGGCAGGTGTTCAATGTGATTCACATTGCAAACTGTTTCGGTTTGTTTTGTTTCTTGAATTATGTGTCAATCATGCGCTGACCGCATGATTATATAGACTAGACGGACTGAAGGTAGATCCTAAAATGCTTGAATGCCAAGTTTGTTGACCAATTTGACCGTCAAATGTCTTCCACGTCCACTTCATCAAGCCGCACTTGATACAAAACTTCAGACAAGCTAAGATAGGCCACGAAAGACCACGACGTTGGAAAGACCGGGGAAAGACCACGATCATCCCGAAACCCATGTGGCTCGGGTGCCACATCCGACCGTCCCTGGCCGCAGCGTTCCCGAGCGGCCGACCGTTGCGGTCTCCTGCCGCCCCGTTTGAGCGGCCGCAGCCTCCGAAGTGTGCCCCCGTTTCGGCCATGGTTTGATCGGAAGGCTGAGGGTATACCCTTGTGCTCTATAGACCTACCCTTGACCCCTGGATGGGTCAATTGCCATGGATATTATATCTAATTACTTTGGTTGTTTCGGAGTTCACATAGCTTCCATCTTCCAGTCCTGGCATGTGGGACTGCAGTCCTCGGTTCAGAACCAAGGACTGCATCCTCTTTGGCCGCTCGACCGTCACCACCTTCTACTTGTTCTTGCAACGTGCATCTCCGGAGGAACAGGGCTGGGACAGCTTGCCCCGGGCAAGGTATTTCAAGAAAAGCCTGTTCGCCAGCACTCAGCGCCTGTTTGGACGACATCATTATAGGAAAATCCAAAGGCTGTTGTTGCCACCGCTGGCACAAGTTTGGCCCGCGTGCTGATGCAGGAGCTGCAAGAGAAGCTGAGAACTTCCAGAGCAGAGATGGAGGACAGACCACTGCCGGTGAGCTTTGCTTTGATAAATCTGGTGAACGTCCACCTCATCACCCGAGGTGATCAAAAAATCGGGTGCGTGGTGACCTCCCAGACGTCCGATCGACCAGCACCGCGGCTCCACGGCCGAGCTCCAGTTCAGTCACGAGACCCTTGAGATCGAGCTCGGGTACTGGTATAGATCCATTCCAAATCCCTTCCCATCTATCTATGCTTTTTGGAACATCAACTCATACTAAACTGACTGTACCCATGGAGCTAAAAAGGCTCTTGCGGGGTGATCGACCGGTCTACCCTTTGCGAGGATGGTCGAATTACTCAACAACTGGTGGACAGTATTCTTGGCGAGGCCCGGGGATAGGGGACTTGGCTGACCAGGAGCTGTGTCCAAGCCTGGAGGAGTTTGAACACCCCAAGACTCCTTTGCAGGATGCTGAAAAAAGATCCGGTGGGGGTTTTGAGTCTCTTATTCGGAAAAAAAACACCTCTAGCCACCTCAAACTACCATTAAGCCTGGCATATGACCCATAGTCAGGCCTATTTATAGTGTTTTGGTGGGGGGGGTATGGAAGCTCTATCAACTGAGGCTTGGAGACTCGAAAGGGGTGGCTTTTGAAACCTAAAGGGTGGACTTTGGGCATGTCTTATCACCAAGCCAAGTTTCCGCACAGAGTCGTGCCGAGACCCACCGGGTGGTTTCCTCAAAGAAACTCGAAGAGGGAAGCCGAGGGAGACCCATGGTGACCCCTCCAGCAGCAGATCTCCCTAAGAAAAGGGCTCCAGCTGTCCAGAAGCTTGGGCTCCAGATGTACCCCCCAGCAGCAGCTGCAGCAGGGGTGCCAAAGAAGGCGTGGACTGACTCCACTCCAGGGGTGAAGAAATGCATGGTGGATCATGTCCAGACCATCCATGAGTATTATGGAATATAGATCTGTAACTACATTAGGGCTATACATGGGGCTAATTGGACAGATTTAAGAAACTAATTGTCATTGTGTAGAATTATACTTTGAGCCCTAGGCTATATCATCATCATCATCATCATCATCATCATCATCATCATCATCATCATCATCATCATCATCATCGTCATCGTCATCGTCATCGTCATCGTCATCCACTGGGCCCTGGTTTACTGGGATCTACCACATATAATTCATGTCTATACAGGCTCTTGGATTGTCCAGGATTTCTTTTTGACCTGGCAATGGGATGGCTTCGAACGAGCTCGCTCGCTGGCGCTCGCTGGCGCTCGTTCTCCAGGCACGGAGCAAAGATCCCGTGGAGGCCAAGCTCGCAGGACGGGTGGTGCAGAGCGCGGAGGTGGACCGAGCTGGAACGCGGTTCTGGGGAGGGAGGGTTCACTGGTCTAGCATACGCACCTTCTAACGCTTCTATACCGACACCGTGGGGTGCCCTGTCTGGAAGCCTTTTTCGGTAGTGTGGGGTAGTCCAGCCAGGACACCCCGACAGGAGGGTCCAGGTAGAGTCAACACAAAAATAGAGTCAACATGTAGGAATACGGGAACTTACACAACGCGGCGAAGGCCACGTGCTGAACGATGTCGCGCCTTGGTGGGAGGAAGGTATGATGTAGTTTTTGCAGGTGTTGCAGCACGTAGTGAGCATTGGCATCACAAGCCTAAAGTCTTATGGACACATAATGCCATTGCTCAATCACACATGGTTAAGTAGCGTGGAACCATGAGGTTTGCTCGTTGGTGTGCAAGAACATTGAATGGTTTGGATGAGCACTTGGAACCCAAAATGGGTGAGTACACTAATTGAAAGACCTATATAGTGGATATGGTTTGTTTGGGCAACTTTTGCCAAGGTCATGACTGGGTCAGCAGAGTTTCTGGGAAAATGTTTGCCTCATCTTCCGGCTTGATCTGGCTGGAGCACGGGACTGATTTCACCCCGCAACCGCACCAAGCTCCTTGAAGAAGTCAGTTCTTTGGATTTGAGGAGATTATTGCAATCAGCTCCAGAGCTGCTTGGCTGCGCGCAGGATGGCGCCCCCCGGTTGCACCGTCCTTGTATCGTCCGCAGGTTGTTGGATCAGATTTGGGTCACCATGTGAATGTGGGTCAAAACCGGAATAGACTACGAATGGGAGGTCAACCTACGGATCAGGGGTCCGGGTTTCGACCCAGAGCGAGGTCTTTAGTATGATGATCCCTAGGGCTCCAAGTACCTCCTCAGAAGGTACTTGGAGCCCTACGGTATGCATGATCAAGTGGTGCAATTGAGTGTAGTATATCGCTTTCTGTCACATTTGCCTTCTATCACAGACGTGGCTGATGATTGCAGCACTTGCGCACATGGGCCCCAGCTGAACGCACGTTGCCTTTCTGGGTAGCAGCGGTAGCGCTTGAGTTAGTTGGCGGAGCTTCACTCGGGCTTACGTTCATCCTACTATGTATATATAATATCATACAAGGGGTTGCTATCTATAAACACTACGTATTTGTTGCTTTTATCTGGGCAGCCTTTGCCCCAAAAGCTCCTTGTGGAGGGCATACAGACGCGAACGAGCATGGAGAATGATATTGATCTATATTTGAAGCTGGGCCCCCGGCTCAAGCATTTAGTTCGGCAGGGCTGCACGATCCTCGAGGACAATTCTTGGTCTCGGGGTTGGAAGCGATCAAAAACAAAGACTCAACAAATTGTTGCTAGAGAATGTGAAACTCGCCCCCAACGCGCTATGCGAGAACGCTTGCCACCAGCTGCTAGAAAGTCCCGGCACGAGCTGATGACTATGTGAAGTCCTCGGAGAATCCCCACAGCACCTGGAGAACCCAAAGGAACTCAGTTGTCTTCACTTAAATCCTGTATCTTCTCAAGAAAAGCTTGAAGTTCACCAGCAAGGATCAGATCGAACAGTCCAACTACAACTCTCACTATGGCTAAGCTGTGCGTGCTGCCAAATTAGTATCCATGAAACTTTGCAAGCATCTCGCTATCACTGATTTTCCGGTGACCTTCCGTTTCAATGGCAAACATGCCTTTGTTTCTGCGAGATTGTCGCCGACCAACCACAGACTTTTGTTTGATGCATCAAACCTTGTCACCACCAATCGTCAGCGAGCTGGGCTCGTGAGCAGAACCTGGGAACTTTCATGAACCTTCTACCCTCACAAGCCGACCACAACCCCCACCTGGATTTATAGGCATGAAGGTTACCCCCCAAAAGTATACAGACCAAAGGTACATAATTAGTTAAATGGGGAGTGAGACCTACACCCCCATGGGGAGAACAAGTTCCCACCTGAGCCATTCGATAAACCTCCGTGTTCATGTTTAATCAGTGTGTTGTCATATCGAAGTTGTGCGTAAGCAAAACCTGCACGCGCGTAAGGTTGCGTAAGCTTTTTGTAAGGAAACCTTTTGCGTAAGCCATGCGTAAGCTTTGAAGAAATACATGATAAATACATGAGCAACCCCTCTCAGAAGTGCTAGGACTAAGGAACAGTCCAACTCCACACATACATATATAGACAATCCAAACTCGAATTGCTGAACACACACAGTCCAAACACCACAGCTGAACAGTCAAACCTCCATGTCAGACATGAGAAACTCCAGGTGTTTTTTGTGAGTTCCAGCGCGTAAGCCGCGCGTAAGCTCCGCGTAAGCTCCGCGTAAGCTCCGGTGTCCTTTTCCACCAGTAGCCCACATGCCTCCTTCTCCGAAACCGTTGCGTCAGCGGCAGCGTTTTGTTGAAGACCTCTATACATATACAATGTGGTTTGCGCGCATCGCCCTTCCCACTTCTCCACTTCCTGCTGCCGCTGCTGCTGCTGCTGCAGGTCTGCTGCTGCAGGTCTTCTGCTGCTAGTCTGCTGCTGCTGCTGCTGCCGCTGCTGCTGCTGTGCTGCTGCTGGTCTGCTGCTGGTCTGCTGCTGGTCTGCTGCTGCTACTGCTGCTGGTGCTGCTGCTGCTGCTGCTGCTTGGTTGCTTCTGCCTTCGAGCCTTCTTCTTCGTCCTCATCCTCAAGTGCTTCTTCAGCATCCATATCCGAAGATTAGGTGTAGTAAATGTCCATTGTACAAAGTATGCAGCGCGTAAGCTCGCGTTGTGGTGTCAGCTGCATTTTGTGCGAGACAGGCGTTGCGTAAGGTTTGCGTAAGCCCTTCTTGCTCCAAGTGTACCGCGTAAGCAAACATGTGAGTCGCGTAAGGCAGCGTAAGCATAAGCGTAAGCCCAATGATACGACATGGGATTTCATCAAGGTTTTCAGAAACGCTCACCTTTGGTGCAAAAGCTGAGGTCAAAACCGAGACCGTGAGGGGGAGCTGATGTTGAAGGCCAACCGAAGCCGCGTCGTTGTTCGGTCTGAAGGTGGTTTGACCTGGAAGAGTACCCCCTTTGCAAGACACCACCCATGGCCTTAAGGATCCACTACCTTCTCAGAACCTACACAAGAGTGTCCAATCGCCTTGATGAAGAGGGTGGCAGTGGATCTATAAGGATCCATAGACTGGCATCGGCAACGCCGAGCAGTTCGGGTAGTGTTTCGGGGCAGGGGCGTGGTTTGACCTGGTTTTGCGATTGGGGGAAAGGCACATGTCACATGTGTTTTTTGGATTCTTACCTTCGCCTTCCAAGACCTTTACAATGAGAGAAAGGTGGACCTGGTTTTGTAATATCCTTACAGTAGTCAGTACAACAATGACTGTTTGGCAAAACCATGCAACACCTATATATGACCATTAATGGTGCTTGGAAGCCTTAGGTTAGCTTCTCAGCGAAGGATGGGGAAGATCTCCGGATCTCAGGTGCCTGCCAAATCGGCCGTGGGTGGGAAAAGCTCCAAGATTGGAGGGATTTCTCGTCTACCCTCGGGCTCCAACCACCTCCCTTTCGGTTCGGTGGGACTGGGGTAGGTTTGAATAATTTTAAAGAGGTCTAACCACCTCCTGAGGATATAGTTGGAGCCCTATATAGTGCTAAGGTTCAGAACCTCACCACTGCATAGGCCCAAACACATGCTGAGTACGGCACGCCCGCAACCCCCCCCCCCCCCGGTTCCTCCAAGAAGCCTCGCTGAGTTCGTCCGTCCGGATCCAGAACATCGCGTCGTGGTGCGCCGAGTGTGGGCCACACCGATCGGTGTGGGCCCCGACGGAGGCATTCATGATTGGCGCGCGGCGTGCACAAGCCAAAGTGGATGAAGCCAATGAGCTCACACGCTTGGTGCGCCCCGCGTCAGGCGCGGCAAGTGGGGCGTCGGGGGCGGAACGCGGCGGAACGGCTTGTGACCATGAGAGGTGATCCCCATGAAGCTCCCCCCCGAAAGAGGACCCGTAGATGACAACAGATCTAGAAACGTCTCCGCATACACACAGACATGCAACATGCGGCTATTCTATCTATCTATCTATCTATATATATATATATCATATACCTATGATCTAGAAGTATAACTTTTGCATGGGAAGCACACCCGCATTATAGAGAGGTTATCAGTTATCACTTTGTAGGGTCAACACATGTTCCAGATTTGCCAATCGCCTTGAAGCGTCGAACGAACCAACATGAACAAACCATGTGTTTAAACATGTTGCATTCAGTCGAGTAGGGCCGGTCCCGGCGAGAGAACGCTCGCCGCCGCAGGACTGCAGTTCGAACTGGCCGCGCAGGTGCGACCACTGAACTCAATGAGTGGTGAGGACGGTGTCCATCAGATTCTTCAGTTGGTGACCATGCCCAGTTCCCGACGAATGGGACTGGAAGAGTGACGGACATCTACCCCATGAATTTCTGACCCCAACTGAGAAGAGTAACTCTGCCAGTCCCATTCGTCTGGTCTGGGATGGTGGGGGTTTAGAGCCCCTTTGTGGGAAACATCTGGGGTCGCATGGGTGTCTTTTGTTTCGAGTGGCTGACTGACGACCTTGGAAAGCTGATCGAAGGAAAGCTAGAACATGGGAGTCTGCCATTTCCAGATGTTTCATTCAATTTATAGAGTTATTATGGTTTATGGTTATATGTCCAGTTATAGTTATGGTTTCAGTAATCTGCCAGTGACGCAGGATGTCGCCCCAGAATCATAAGTTTTGAGAGCTGCTCTCTGTCAGCAGGATTGGAACCTACCCTAGTAGGCAATGACGCCAAACTCACCATCCTGGTTCCAGGCCTCATATATCTAATAATTTTGTATTGATATAGACCCCAAAAAATAGATATAGATAGCAAAGCAGCTCCTTTAAGCATGATTTCGGAAACCGTTTCTACCCATACATATACTCCCCCGCAGGTTAACATGGAACCCCAAAACCACCGAGCTGGTATTCGGAAAATGGTCGAAACCACCGGCCAATTCTCAGGTTCTATGTGAGTTTGCGAGGGAGTAGACTCCAGATAGACTCCAAATAGATAGCTGTTAGTTTGCGAGGGAGTAGGCTCCAGATATGAATTCCTTCATCCTTGGGTTTTGCATGTACGCCCATCATATCGTTACACCTCCAGCAAGCAGCTGCGAGGCACCCGTCCTGTCGTACGGCTTCAACGACTGCGCAAACCTTCCGCAGCTTTGTGTGGCTGGGACCGACGACGGGGGGACCTGCAAGTGATGGCTCAACCGTTTTGATCGTTTCGGCACATTGGGATTGGTAACGGTTTTGCACGGGATTCGTAGACTCTTAGTTAGTCATTTTCGGGAAAAAACATAACATATATTCCTTAATCGTCGAGAATGGGATGAATATTATGATTGATGAACGATGTTTGCAGCAGTGGAAATCTAACATCAGTTGAGCCAACACAAAGTCATAAAGGCTGCACGAATCTTCGCGGAGACGATCGCTGCCCCGCAGCGAAGAGGGTTTTAACCAAGATTAACCAAGTCATGATTTGGGCCGGCATTTGGTTTTAAGGTGTTTTTGATCCGCCTAGATGAAGTGCGGTAGTGGTCGTAAGTAGTTTGCAAACCCTCCACACTAAGCAAGCGGGTGTTCTCCTGCTATCAAGGGAACTGTGGAGTAAACAATAGCTTGCTTCAAGAACCCTAAAGTTTGCGCGTCTTACTCTGTTCCAACATGACACTTGCGGTCTACAGCGGATCGGATTGACACGTCCATTTTGCCTGGCAGGTACAGCGCGGTCAGATTTCCACACCTGAAAGGTGTCGACATGTTGCACGTAGGATTCTAAAGGGAAAGGGTTTGTCCCGTTTTAGAAGTCAAGAAGCGCAACTTTCGGCGCCCCAGTGTATTGTGGTTGTTGTTCACCCCTTGTCGAAGCAATGAAGAAACTGAAGTAAGATTTGATTGCTTCACTTTGAGTTGGTGTTGACCATCCAAACACCTACCTGGGGGTTGTCCCAGTATATATATACAGCTGCAACAGTGGTTGAACAAGTAAATCACTATTTTCGATATGAAGGCCTGCAACCTACCCCAAGATCATCCACTGGGCCCTGGTAAAAAAAACATGATGTAATCATTAGACCATTACACCTATACACCAAAATCATCCAACATCCAAATATCCAAGTCCCCAACAGCACCGGGGGGGATGCTCCTTCTCTCCAAAACTCTCACCACCCCTCCTCCGCCCTCAACCCCCACCGATCTCAGGTGCGCCTGGTCAAGCGGACCTCGCCGCTGGAGCGCTTCCGCGCAGCGGCGCGGAAGGTCATGGCGCTCTACGGGAAGAACCGCATCCAGGCGACGGAGACAGCGAGCCGAGCCGACGGAGGGACCGGGCGGACCAAAGTTCGGCGGACCGAAGAGACACACTGGCCGCTGGGTGTCCTTCTTCCTGGAAGTCGATTCCTAGGAGGTCCAAACATGGCCGATCCGTAGAGCGACCGCGCTTGTCGGTGCTTGGAGATGGGACGTATGTACGTGGTTCATGCCCCATATGCCCATGGGTGGGTGGTTGGAGCATGGTGAAGGGCGCATCGCTTCAGGCGGCGGTGCTCTCGGTGCTGCCGGGCGCGAACAACCGCGGCAGCGGACACAGTGGGGAGGGCCTGGCGCAGCTGGGGCAGGGCCTGAGGATGCTTCTAATGTGGAGCCTTGATTAAGAACATTTATATAATATCTCCTGAATTGAACAACTATATACAGCGCCAAAAGGGGGATGGATTTCCAGGAGCCTTCCGCTTTTGGGGTGCCCAATGGAGGCCCCCAATGGAGGCAGGTCCCAGTCGTGTAGTTTGTTGGTGACCCTTTGTCCCTCCAGTCATCCGCCCCCCGACCCGCCATGTTCCAGACCTCAGGGTTTTGAGGTGGGCATGGTCGTTTGAACGTGGGCATGCCAGACACATGAATAGACTTGCAGGCTTCGGTGTCCCAAACAAGAACCTAAACTGGTGTTGCTGCAAGGCGATGTATTTTTTAGTTTCCGCTAATCATCCGTGGCCCTTTTGGCTCAAGCTTCATCGACTCAAATGGTCTCTCTTCTTGGCTCTCCAGAATCTAAAGAACAAAGCTCAAATCTGCACACAGAGCTGGACTCGCGAACAAGTCCGTTGCGCTAGGTGACCTTTTGCACATGCCCACTCAGGAACAGTGGACGTGAAAACAGCATTTCTGAATGCGCCGGTCGATGAATCGGCTGAGAGGGGAATCGTCATTGTCGAGCCTCCCCGAGTGTTCAGAGAAGCTCAGATCCTCAAGCACCCAGGAGAACTGTGGAGAGTCCGTAAGGCTCTATATGGACTGGCCACATCACCGAAAGACTGGTGCCTACATCGTGACCGATGCGTCCGGGAACTCTGCTGGGAAGAGGGCGAGGTCCGCTATAAGGCGGAGAAGACGACGCAGGACGACATGTGAGCTGTGCGAGGACAGCGAGCTGGCGAGGAGGAGTGGCGCCTGGTGGGATTGTGTGCCACCTATGTCGACGATGTGATCATCGCTGGAGATGAGGTGGTTGTGAAGGGCATCCACCAGAAGATCAAGGAGAGCTGGAAGATCGGAGAGCCCTCGATTCTCCTTTGAAAAGTTCATGGGTCATTTGGGGTTGGCACTAAAACCTACCCGCATCTTGGTGATGGTGGATGGAGCAAATTTCGGCATGGCCATGAGTAATCCTCGGTCGAAGAGCAGAAATCTGCTGAGGAACTTTACGGATACCCTAAACTCAGCGGAGGCTTCGAAGCAAGGGACCCAACCTTCAAGCGAGAAGGACGCTTGGGGCCCAAAATTGGGGTGCACACAATGGCACGTACTCTACACGACCCGAGCACCCGAGTCACATTCAAACGGGCAGTTTTCAGAGGCGACTTCGATGCAAACACAAAGGCGGCTATTTCTTCTCAGGTGTGGAGCATGATCCTTGACGAAAAGCTTGGGAGAAACTGCCAATGATGTGACAGTTTCGATTTCGACTTTTAAAGTGGACTTTCCATTGATATACTTCTACAAGAAAGACAAAGCGAAAAGTTTGAGAGCGCTCGTCCTTTCATCGCTTCTCTCTGGATCGGACATCACACCTGCTCTTTCCTTCACAACAGTTGGTTTGAACGGGCCTGGCAATACAAGGGAACAGATTGTGAAGAAGATGGTCACCTTTGCGTCAGACCTGGCTCGGAGTTTGGAGGTAGGTGACCTTTTCATCAGGTGAAGAATACTCACCCTCCCAAATGGGCGCATTCCTTCAAACTCCCATGATGAGGAAATACCTGGCATTTACGGATGAGGAGGTGGCAAGGAGCGTCTACGACATACACGCCGACTTTGTGGAGGACAAGGGGTCAGAAGAACTGGGGTTCGATCAAAACGACATCACAAACCGTCACATGAGCATGATATTGAAAACCGTAAAACACCCCCAGACCTACTTGGGATTGTATTCTTCTTCTCTGAAGGTTCTTGCGATGAAGTTTGAAGAGCCAGGCAGGGATGACGAAAGCCACGTACGACTCCATGATGGAGTACTTCAATCTGGGAAACGATCCGTTTTTGGAAGATTTCAAAACGTCAAGAAACGACAACGCAACTTTTGAAAAGGCACTGCAAGAAGCAAACTACGACAGCGTTAAAAGGAGATCAAAGAGATTTTCGAAGTCATGAGTGAGAGGGAACTCACGCTTGCAGAGGGGATGTTGAATGAGGATTTGGGCCCAACCTTTCAGCGGCAACTTGACGTGTCTAAGGGCCGGTTCTGTCCCTTTTGCCATGCCGACCTTTGTTTGGGAAGAGAGACTGGGGCCTGGCAGCTTTGCCAGCTTTCCAGCTAGGATCCATAGCTGTTGTGAGGAAGGCTGTTCTCTGGCCACCGTGCGTCATGGGCTCTTGCTTGGGGTGAGCATGTGCCTCGGGTGGTGAGGTCAAGGTGTTCAACGGATGGATCACTAAGGAAGTCTCCCTGACTGAGGAAGTTGGCTCTGTGTACCTTGGATGTCACCAAGGTTCACACTCATGCTGAAGTCGCGCCCTCGAGTTTTGTAGAGCTTTGCTGTGGTTTGGGGGGCGTATCAACTGGCTTGGAACAGCTACAGCTGATGCGCGCTGCTGGTATGCACATCTCGTACGCAGCGGTGAACACCTCTGACATGAACCACATGGGTAAAGCGCTCAAGGGCAACATCAGTGACCCGTCTGACATAGCCCTTTTGTTCCAGCAGGTTGGCAATTGAAAGATGGGTCTTTGTTGTGGATTCCCATGCCCCCTTTTTTCCACCAGAGGGGGTTGTAAGGGTTTTCTACATGCCCCGGCATACACTGGCAGCGGCTTACTTGATGGATGCTCAATGGATGCTCCTGGACAGCATTCCGCTGACGGGCAATTTCTCAGAACCCCCACAGGTCCTTGAGCCCTTTGCCGGTGCGATGGGATTTGGGTATAAGGAGGGTATCCTTCATCTCCAGGATTCTTGGCCATGTCGCCGTACCGCATGGTGGTGCATTCTCCTGCCTTACATGGCCATGGTCTGCTTGATCTTCCCGACCATGCCAAAGCTCTTGGACTTTTGCAGTGTCTCAGCAGTTCTTCCACAATGGCCCACATGGCAGACCAAGGCAGAGCAAGAGCTGCAATGGACGTCGCAGGAGATGGAATTCTAGTCCTCAGTCTTGGATTTGGACTCAGCTCTGCTCAGGTCCGAGGCCATTTGCCCGACGCTTTTGCATAGTTTGGGGCACCATCTGCTACCCTGCCCATGTGGCCGCAGACAACAAGGTCTTTGCATACAAAAGATTCATCCATGATGGAGTCTCGTTGACTATGTTGCCCTCCGCTCTGATGCAGGGGCAATACACACATCTCCATCCTGCTGAAGCTGGTCTCTTCTGCAGCCTGCCAGCGGACTATGTCTATGACCTCTCCAATGCAAGACACGACCTTCCTTTGATAGGGCAGCCCCCACGCAGGCAATGTGGTACATGATGCACATCATGAAAGCTCTTCATGTGGCCCACCTATCAGACGCATCAGACGCAGACGGTCTCTTTGCATGATGGTTCTGCCTCACTTATACTTTGCATTGTTCACCGATGTCTACTGCTGCCGATTTGCTCAAAGCCCATCAGTATCTACTGGGATGGGGACAAAGACTCTCCCTTTGGAAAGAAGGCATAGCATAGCACAACGGCCAGAAGCGCTTCTGCGTGAAGGAAACAAGTTCATCAGCCCAAGAGACTCCGAGACCTTCCACAAGGTTCCATCACCATCCACCTCTGTCTTTCCAGGGCCCACCTGGCTTTCTTATTGCTCACGCGCTTGACTCCTTGGGCTTCGCATTGTCCCAGGTATGAGATTTGAGAACGCCTTTCGGACCTACCACTGGGGCGATGCCATCTGGGTAGATTAATCTGGTGAGCTCAGAGGTCTGGGGTATGAGAGATGCAGTGCAGCGGGCCTTCATCATGTTGAGCTCTACAATGAAATTGATGATCTGCGAGTTGAGCGGAAAAAACTTGATCATGCTGCCTCTTCTCTCTCAAGGGCACTGGATTTTTGTCATTCAAGACCTACGCCAAGGGCTGGTCCCCTACTATGATGGCGTCCCGGACTTCCATCTTTCTCTTGTCCAGCAGATTGCCCCTTTGCTTGTGCAAGTTTTCATGTGCCATATCCGGCAGGTCACTCGGCACACACCAGTTGCCCCGACTACTGGTGATCACTGTGGCGCCATAGTCCTCAACAAACTGGGCCTTTTTCTTGGACTTTGGACTTCAATGTCAGAGCAGGCGCTGCAAAGCTATCCAAGCCAAACTGGGAACGGCTCCTATTGCTCGGGCAATCGCACAAGCAAATCCCTGGCAGGCTTTCAAACAACTTGCCAATCAGCAACAGAGACCATTCCACTGGAGACACGAGCAGAGCCAGCTGTGGCACCACAACCTCACCTTCTTCTACTTGCTCATCCTTTTTTGCAGAAGACAACACGCTGGAACAGATCTCAGTTGATCGCATCACGCCGGAAGGAGGTGGAATTGTGATTGGAACAACTGAGCAGGCCATCCGCTTCCTGCAGGACCAAAAGCGTATCTCAGCCTAGGCCTTGGCAATGCTGACTACCACTGATGTCCCTACGGAACACATAGCAAAACTTGAAGTTGAGAACCTCGTGTGGCCGGCCATCTTGCAAGAGGCTTCTGACCCTCTGCTGATCAGAGGTTCATGCATTATCCAACTGGGCGACATTGGAGTCCAGAAAATCCACGGTCCTACAGCCTTGTCTTCCTCTTTCAAGCCAGACCTGTTCCGTATACAGGTCCCTTTTGTACATTCGTAGCAAACTCTGGCAAGCGGAGCCTAAGGCTTTCGATATATACACCGATTGTATTGTTCCGCATGTACTGCTTGGCCTAACAACGCCAGATTTTGCAAGGGGGTGTGGTTGCGCCATGCGGTGCAACGTCTCGGTCGGACATCGTTTGTGTCGTTTCTGTGACTCTATAGACAGGGCATCCTTTGCGACTTCTCGGCGTGCATGTCGGAAGTCACCCTGCCTATGAGGCGTGGGCCGCATCGTTGCGCGCACAGCTATCGGCTTATATTTCGTCTGGCAGCAGATCTTGGACGTTCTCGACGTTCCACTCACAAAGAACAGCTGGGCGCATTTACTTGCCGTTTTTCGCCGGACTTTCGGCATTGTTGCTCCAGCTTTTGATGTCCTTACTGGATGGCTGTGGCGATTTGTCACTAACTTGTCCATGTTATAACTTAGTTATCCAATGTATGCATAAGTGGACTTTTAGGAGTTAAGACCCAGGTTACAAGCAGGGCCTAAGTAGGTCGTAGTTGTTTTTACTGTATATGTTAAAATCTTCTTTTCGCGCAAGAACTTTTTTTTCCGACGCACATTCGTTTTCAGTGCAAATAGAGGAGGAGAAACAAGCTTGTGCGGTTATTTGGCCTACATTTGGCCTACATGGCCTGCTTGTTTACTTCAGAAGGGCCTACATTGGAAAACTTAGAATTCTAGATTTCTCGCCTACATTCGGCCTACATTCGCCTAATCCTCCCGGAGCAGACTGTTTTCTTCTCAGACTTTCCCGGAGCAGCTAAAAACATTACAAAAAAAGAGTTGGTCTTAAGTAAAAAAGTGCAAAAAACATGAATCTTAAGTTCAGCTTAAGTCGACCCTAAAGTACATCTTAAGTAGGAACTAAGTAGAAACAATAAATCCAATAAGTTAGTGTAAGAGCACCAAGTTACTCCGCGGTAAAAGTAGATGGACCCAATTTTGAGGTTGTGCCATCAATATTTTGGGGCACCTGCAAGCCTCTACCTGTGAGACCTCATTTTTTTGTGCCATCTATTTTCCAGACTTGGGAGGGCTAAATCATCAATCCCAAAAAACCTTGCGCCATCTACTTTTGCGTGACCATGCCCCGTTGATTGTGCCATCTACTTGGCTGTTATCGTGCACTGGTCTGAAAGCTAGGTCAATGGAGTGTGAAGTGGATGCAGAAGGAAAAAGGAAAAGGCAAGGGAAAGAGAGGGAAAGGAGAAGTGAAGGAAAGGAGAGGAGAGGGAAAGGGCAGGAAAGCAAAAGGAGATGAAAGGAAAGGACGCAAAAGGAAAGAGCAAGAATGAACAGGAAAGGGAAGGGCAGGTAAAGGAGAAGTGAAACAAAGGAAACACAAGGACAGGAAAAGGAAAGGATGCAGGCATGAGCAGGAGAGGGAAGCAGGGGGAACACGAAGGCGAGGGGAACTTAGTTGTGCCATCTATTGGCTCCACTATCAGTGCTGTGTTACCTTTCACTCAGGGGGTGCGCCATGTGCTGGGCAGTTCTCATTCGTTGTCCTGGAAGCAGAATGAAAGGGAATGGGGATGGAAAGGTAGGGGAAGGAGATGGAAAGGAGAAGTGAAGGAATGGAGTGGAAAAAAGGAGAGGGGAGAAGAGGAAATGAAGCAAAAAGAACATAAAAGGCAAGAAAATAAGACAGAACAGAAAACTTCAAAACAAATGTAGGGGGCAAGGAAAGAAAAAGAAAAGGACACAGAAAGGAAAAGGGTATGGAAGAAGAGGATGTGAAGGGGAAGGAAATGAGTTGCGCCATGTATTGGCTCAACTATCATGTTCATCTTTCACACGGGGGATGTGCCATCTACTTGGCTGTTATCATGCACTGGTCTGAAAGCTAGGCCAATGGATTGTGAAGTGGACGCATAGGGAAAGGGAACGGGAAGGGAATGGCAAGGGAAGGTGAGGGAAAGGAGAAGTGAAGGAATGGAGTGAAAAAAAGGAGGAGAAGAAAGGAAAAGGAAAGGAAAGGAAAGGAAAGGAAAGGAAATGAAACAACAATGAAACTAAATGCAAAAAAAGGCGAGAACAGGAGAAAGGGAAGAGTGAAAGCAATAGGAATCATCAGGAAATCAAACGGTTTCAACAGGAATTCAATAGGCACCAACAGGAAATCCATAGCCATGAAAGGAAACAGACAGGAATCCACTGGAAATCAAAAGGCTAGATGGCTTGCGCCATCAATTCTGAGCGCGCGAACGTCCTACTCCCAGTGGGAGCGCGTTGTCCTTTGTGCCATCTATTACTTGTTTGACCCTGTTGGAGGGGAAATTCACAACCCACACAGGGAATCACCTAGAAATCGAAAGGCTTCACTGGGACATCAAAAGGAAACCAAAAGGAACCGCAAGGAAACCAATAGGAATCAGCAGGAAATCAATTGGTTTCAACAGGAATTCAATAGGCACCAACAGGAAATCCATAGCCACGAAGGGAAACAGAAAGGAATCCACAGGAAATCAAAAGGCTGGATGGCTTGCGCCATCAATTCTGAACGCACACCCATCCTACTCCCCACGCGAGCGTAAAAAACCCTGTGCCATCTACCCCCCCCTGAAATGGGGCCAAAAAAGTGTCCCGAAGTGCCACTGCTCGCCCTCCCGTTCTTTCCGAGTTGTTCCTGACACTTTTACCCCTATAGTTGTAAGTAGAGGCGATTACTGAACAAACTTACACATTTTATAACCTACACTACAGAACTTCAACCTACGTTTTATCTAAAACTAAGTCGCACAGCCATCCGGCAACTCATAACTTGGTTTTCGGCCATGGAGACTCGCTTTGGCTCTGACTGGGCAGCCGCATGTCAGTCACCTCGCAGCGGGATACAGCAGCCGGTAGGCATTTATTCGGTCGCCAAGCGCTCACGCAGAAGATGCGAGAGTGCGCTTCGCCCTCAAATAGTCCGGTGAACTTTACTACCGGCGGAGGCGCCCAGCAGAGCGCCGACTCCCTCGCGTTTACGGGCAGTAAGATTCTAGAGGGCGAGGAGGTCTACATTCTTAAGGAGTGCCCACCGGCCCAATCTATCTGTTGCTGCGGCATTCCTTGCACCTACCCGCACAGGACACCGACCTTGGCGGCCTCCGTGCGCGCCACGCCTTTCTCGTGGGCCTGGGCATACCCATTTCCTTCAACACGTGGCAGCGCGTTCGTGCCATGGTTCTCCACGCCCATCCGGCCACTCTTCCGACTCTTTCTGCCCAAGCTTTGGCCCGCTTGCTTTGGGCTTTGCATGGTCCTGCCGTGCCTGTGCACTGCACTGACGACATCTTCGCTGCTGGGCTTCAACACCTCCAAGACTTCCTCCTCTCTGCCGCCCCGGCGGATGCTCCCCAGTTTCCCCGGTTTCACCCTCCTCGTCGTTCCATCCGCCGCCGAACCCTCCGGGAATGCCTCGTGACTACTGCTCACACGCTTGCGGTTACGCAGTGCCTTGCCCAGCTGGGATGGTCCTTGGATGAGAACTTGGATCTTGATGTTGGCCCTTTTGAGATAGACTTTTGGTCTCTTTACCTGGAGGCCCTCAAGCTCTCTTTTGGACTTTTGGATGATGTGAATGAAATTCAATTAGCTGGTTTCCCATGGTTTCCCTGCAAATTTTGTTGCCGACCTCCTCCGTTGGACGGTGGGCTTTGACTTGGTTGCTCCCATGAAACGGCATGTTTATTTAACTAAGTGCTTGTAGCATTCGCTGACAGCTCAGGAACGACTTACACTTCTCAAGAGGACTCGAGGACGTTCAAACGGATTTTTGGTAATTTATCGGTTCCTCTTGAGACGTACAGTCGAGCTCGGCCACATGTGGGCTTGATCAAGTGGTTGGTTTGGAGATTGGTTGGCATTTGGATGTTGCGCACCGTGTGGATCAAATCCTGATCAAGTTCACTCAGGGACGGCCGGTGCGTTTCGCACGAGACCTTGCTCGCCCAGTGAGCATTTGAGTGCCTCTTTTCTTGGTCTGCGTGAAAATAAATCAACCACCTTCTCAGACCCACCCCAGCCACCTTCAAAACCGAGATTTTGCATGTTCCCCATATATTATAATATGGTTTTGCATCCCCTTACTTCTGGTGAAGATGCTTTCCGATGGGCTCAGCCAATCCGATCGAACGCCGCAGGTGGCGAGTCCAGGCTCTTGTGTACCTGGACCTTGCCCAAGTTCATGGCCAGGCTGGAGACGCTTGGAGTGACTTCGGATGGGAGCATCCCAAAAGGTGGGGAGTGACGCGCCCGCGTCGTTGGGGTGGTATTGGTTTGTATTTGTTGGTGTTTGTGTATGTTGGTATTTGTTGGTAACTATATGTGTGTTACAATGTGTTACAAATGTGTTCTGACATCGGTTGTGTTGGTGTTTTTGTTGTTCACTTTTTTGTTGATGCAAGACCCAAGGAAATATCAAAACGCGTGGTGGGTGGCCGGATATTCCAGGCTCAAAGCTTTCAAAATCGTTTAAAAATATCCAAGTCCTGGGTCCTGGTTTGCTGAGATGGCATCCCAAGCAAATCAAGGCTGTCAGGCACGACATTTTTTGTGGTTGGTCACAACTGAACCCAGCTAGAAACTTCTGAAACACGAAACTGTACACGTAGAAGTGGGTTCTCAACGCAACAAATTCAACCAAGTTCCACCGACTTGCACCTTTTTGGCATCGGAGCATCTCACAGCGGCGTACAGCGTCCCCACTTTGTTTGGTGCCCACATGACCTGAGGATGATGTACGAGGTGCAACTGGCCGGTTGAGGAGAGGTGGAGGTGGATCCAGACAGCTTTATGTTTCTATATACTTGTCCTGTTTCCAAGAGTTGAACTCTCGGAACATGTTCTTGTACATGTTCCGAGATTTCTATGAAACGTGTTCCAAGAAAACACGTTTCTATTAGTCTATTAGTGTTCCCCGCGAAAATATGAGCTGTCCCTAAGACATGTTCCGAGATCATGTCACCCTTCTATCGCTATGAAGACTGTTTGAGAAGGGGCCCTTTGGACGGCAGCGGTTGGGAGATGGCCAACATGCCATGTGAATCCATGTGACACCTAGGGGACTCGGGCACTCATCTATGATCCATTCGTACTCCTGGTTTTGCAGGGTGATGCTTATTGTCTTAATACATTGGTGAATCTCCTGATTGTTTTTTTAATGTTTGTCAAGTTCCTTTAGCAAATCCAAGTCCTGGATCCAAAGCCTTTGATCAAAAGCTACCAACAGTTGAAGCTGTGCAAGGTTTGTTTGTTCACATGAAGCTGCTGTGTCATGGGGTAGTGGGTTCCTCCTAGAGAGACACCATATGTGTATGATGTATCGTATGGTTGTGCTACAGTTAAGTTTCAAGAGTGCACACCTTTGCCATGTCGCAAAGACATAGGCCATGACCATCCTGGGTACCAGACAAACAGTACATGTGCATAGTGCATGGCAGCAACCCTCTCCCAAATGTTTTGCACATGTGTTAGCCGGGCATGTTCCAATTTCAGCTCAGATCGGTGTTGGCAGGTGAACGTAGCCTACCCAAAGCCCAGACATGAGGCTCCCACAGCTTTGATAGGAAATGGCTGTAAGTATGTAGTTTATTTTTCGTGTGTGGTCCAATGGTCCAAAACATTCCGCAGATGTACCTTCTGAAGGTTCCAAAGCTGCCAACCAGTTCTTGGGACCATGGCACGCCCGGCCTCGGATGGAAGGTTCAAGACGGTCAAGAGGTTAGGATGACGAGTAAATGCACCGGACTTGAATGCAGGTGAAATGCATATATTCCGGTATGTGATCATATGATCACATCATACTAACACACATGATAAAAAGGCCACCTGTCAAACAAAGACACCTGTCGTTTATGGGAGCACTACCATCGGCACGTGCATTTTTCCATCGGCACCTGTTGAGACACTTCGCTCCGCTCGCTCGCCGGACCGGGCGGAGCCTCTTCGATGGCGGATTTCGAAGATGCATTGCAGAAGCAGCTAGAGGTCCTTAAAGCTGGTTTGCTCCAGGCTCCTTGGGATTACAGTATTGTGTTTATCTCCAGATCTATCTATACATCTATCAATCTAATCTAATCTAATCTAGTCTAGTCTAGTCTAGTCTAGTCTATTTGTCTATCGATCTATCTATATCGTGAGTTCTTATTTTTTTTTTCTGAGTTTAGGTTCTATTCTTCTCGAGATGTTCTTGCGGTCTTACAATGTGTCCTTAAATTTGAAATCTGCGCTTGTTGATTTTTTGCTTGCTTCAGAAGTGGTGGTTAGTTTGGGTTGATGTAGATTTGTGGGCTGGAAATAGACTTTCGAGACTCGAACAGGCCAGCTTTTAAGCCTGCGACCCTCGAGACGACGACCTGTGAGACTTTTCCCGGATGCCAAGCTGGCACAAGTATGGCCTGTACTCCCTGGAACTGAATTGGAATTGAGGAGCAATTGCCCGACCAGAATACCAAACAGGGAGTGAACTCCACTTCCATGTTAAGTTCCAGGGGGAGTACGTTAGGTCTTTGGGTGGTGAGTGTTGGTCATATTGGCTCTCCCATATGGATCGTTTGGGTTTGGTATGCCGCCCCACTTGTATCATAGACATGAGGTGTTTCAGCTGTCCTAAGTTTTGCTTAGATGTGCTGGGCGATTGGGGGTCGCATTGATGACTCCCAATTGCACTTTTTGACACCTCTATCTTGATTGGTGCGACCCTGGGTGAATGCTATCCCTGTTTCAACATGTTTCAAGCCATCAAGATTTGTTGAACACCATGTGAGTTGGACAAACAAAGTCCTGGAAAGTCACCATAGAAAGCCATGGATCGACGGTCTTGGGATGCCACCTCACGACACGACTGAGATGGAACTGGAAGATATGTCACCCCAGCAAGACCCCTGAAATCAACCAGCCCTGGCCCGATTGGCAAATATGTCCCAGACAGGTCGTGCTTAGGTTATATTTGCCACAGGGTGCCACCCACAGTTCCGAAAGGCAGCCTTTACCACGGTCGCCATGTCAGGCACACCACGCCGCCTTTGACGTCGCGTCCGACCGCGGTGGCCGCTGCAGCGATGGGGCGGTGAGTCCGCGCACGCGGAAGCGCAGCGGGAGCATCGAGTTGAACGAGCTGCAGGAGGAGAGGAACTGACTGATGATGAGTTGCGGTGTGCCATGTCAACGGGTGAAACGAGCGAAAGTCTGAAATGGAGTACGAAGATGTGGAAGGTGCGCCAGTTGCTTTCGACGAGGGACAGACGCTCCGTTCACAGCTCGACGGGTCCCTAGGGACTACCCTAGGGATTGGTTTGGGTCCGGACCCCTACGTTTGGGAGGGTCCATGTTGCTTTCTATGAGGGACAGGTTTTTAGATGGTTTCGGTAGGGAAGGGGAATCCGACGGTCTCGTTTTCCAGTTTGTCCTGCAGCTGCAAAGAAAACTGCAGGCTGCAGTGGCTGCAGTCTCACGCAAGCCACGTGCTTTAATTGGCTTAGTTGATGATATGCCGCCGTGCAAGCTTGGACCCTCAAAGTGACCCCATGATTTCGACCATTTTCCGAATACCAACCCAGCAGCTGTGAGAGTCCATCCGGGTCCGACCTGCAGGTGGGTCCACAGGTCAAGGCTACAGACTACTTCTTGGGTTCCAGCGCCAGTAGGACAATGAACCCACTCCGTCGCATCCGCCGCCCTTGGTCCCACCCGCATGTATAGGGGGTCGCACTCGCGGTCGCCCTCGCGGCGGAGTGGGGCGAAATGCAGGATGAGATCCCTTGGGAGCGGGAAGAGGCGACGGTGCTGCTGGGGTGTAGGGGGCGAAGATCGAAAGAAAACACTGTGCTGCTGGGGTTGAAGGGCACTTGCAGGATGCCCCATCAGACTGCTCTGACCATTCCGCCAGCCACCCAGGGAACTTCTTTGAAGCTCTCACTGCATGCGCACTGCTCCTGAAAATGGTTTCCTGAGCCCACCGCTCGCCCCAAGTGAACATATACCACACAAACCAGAAGTTTTGGCCCGGGGGTGCCTGTTTGGGTCACGACGGGGGAGTCAGTCCCAAAGCCCCGGTGGTCTAGTAGGCCAGGCCAACACCCTTCCACAGTCACCCAGTTGCCGCTAGCTTTCCGTTCGACCATGTTCTTCCAAAATGACTTCACCGTGACTTCACCTGGTTTCTGCTGGTATCTGACTCGAGTCACTAGTACTCATTCAGTAGATAGGCTCTTCACAGTCGGCCCAGTCCACCGGAGCTATCTTCTGAGTAAAGCAATGGCTGTTCGGTCCCTAGGTCGGGTTTGGGGGGTCTAACCACCTGAGGAGATGGTTGGAGACCTAGGGGTAAAAGATGATTATCCTCGGGCTCTTGAAGAACCACTTGTGACTGGCCCAGTCGGCGGCGGTCTCCCTGCGCGTGAGCGACGTGAGCCTCGAGACCAGCGGTGAACGATGGGCTGCTGGGCCGAACAGTGGAGGCGAATTGAACGATGGGCGTCCGGCTCCTACCGTGTGGCCGAGGGTACGGAGGTGCCGTACGTGGCCTTGAGGGCTTGGAGGTGGTTGAAGAATATCAAGTGAAGGTTTGGGATAGTTTGGGAGGGGCTGTGAGCGACAGCTCTGAGAAATGTTTCAGATCGGATGTAGCTTGCTAGACAAACTGGCAGGAGGCATGATGTAAAATCTATTGAAAGCTGAAGAATTATGACTATAGTCTTTGCCTTTGGTTCCACTCCACTCTGGTTAGTGCTCGCTTTTGTCAGCTCAAGTGCAGCATGTTTGTGTTGTTTTGTGTTTCTTGTTTTTGCTTCGCTTCAAGTTCTGCAGGGACCTGCAGTGGTCACCCGTGGCCCGTGACACCGCTGTTCGTCGCTTTGAACACCATGCGGTCACCAAATCTTCAAATCTTCCCTATACTACTTATGTGAGCACCACCCAGAGGATGGTCAGAGACTCCAAAAAATGACTCCCTTGAGCCTTGGACTTGGACAGTTTTATTTACTTCTTGTCATCCAAAAACCACCCCTAACATGGGTGCAAGACCTTGCGGACCGTTTGGTCGCTCGCGTCTCGCGCCCGCTCCGCTGGTGCTACTCCTCTCGTTCTTCGCCCGGGCGAGCCCGGCTCTTCGGGTTCCACTCACTCAGGCCCGGCTCACACGGCATTTGCTGGCACCACCGTCCTCAGAGGCTGGCTAGAGTCTGGAAGGTGCTGAGATGCTAGGGCTCCAACCACCTCCTGGTTTTGCTTATAGGAAATTGGTTTATTTTCCCTATGGATAAATCCATTTCTGGGAATATGTGGTATTTTTCCAGGTTCCTTAAGCAAATTGGAGGTAGTTAGTTAGACCTCCTGAGGATGTGGTTGGAGCCCTATGTGGAGAAGGGTTTGGGATCCACGGATTTGTACCTACCTTCTCAGAAGATAAGACTGGATCCTTTTAAGGCACCGGGTCCATCAAATAGTGCCCAATCACCTTCATAAAGAGGGCAGTGGATCCATAGACTGAGAAGAAGAGATGGACTCGGCTTTCCTCTGGGTCTATTTTACTGGGCTGCGTTAGTGGAGCTTGAACGAGAGCACACGTTTGCTTTATGGCCTGAGGGTTGATTGCTGTTGCTGCTTCCTCAGCTGAAGCCTCTGTTGTTTGGGAGCCGTTTGGCCCAAACCTCGTCGTGGAAGTTGGGCGGAAGTGCCTTGGCTTCAGGGAGAGGCGATGATGCTTTCCTTGAGGGCCCTTTTCAGCTACAAAGTGCATGTTGATTGTATTGGAGGGAGACCGTAGCTCATGCATCAGAGCCATGTTGATTTGCTTAGATGATTTTGTACCACATGGTTCTGACTTAATTCGCCCGATGGTCCTTGTTGAGAAAGCAGTGTGTTGTCCATGTTCATCATGCTTTCTATCTATAGCTACTTCTTCTGCAAAGACCCATTTCAGGCTGGACTTGTAGGGGTTCATTGCAGAATACCCAGTCAATGGATAACCTTTAACCTTTTTTGGGGGGATTCGGATTGGGGACACTCCACTAAATATGAACAGGATTGACAAAGGATGAAAAAGGTTCTTTTATGTCCAAGGAAAACAGCTCGGGAGTCAGCAAATCATCATGTTTTCCCCCATCTATCGGTGTCATGTCGATGACTTTTTCCACCACGTGACACCGAGGCCATGGAGATCCTCATCGCCCCCGGCGAGCCACTGGGACAGGCGCAGAAGGATGAGATCGCCAAGGTGCGGAGCGGTGGGAGTGGTGGTCGTTGTTTTGGTGTTGGAAAGGACCATAAAGGACCTGGGATGAGGTATTTGCCACTAGTAATATGTAATGTATGTCATATATAATGTATGTTTGCGTGTGAAGTGTGTTTGTTGTTATTGTGTTTAGTTTCGTTGTAGAATTCATGCATCAATCCAGTTGGTACCAAGTCCCTAGTCCCACCAGTCAATCAAAGCAACAAAACGAGAGAAACAAACAAACTGACTCGTGATGTCTAGAATTGGAAGCACCCATTTTCCTGCTCTATGAGCAGTCCCGAGGGTTTCACCTTTATATATATATATATATATACCAGCAGTCACAAAAGGGTGCTTAATGGAGGTTAGGGGTGCCCATTATCCACTCACTTAGAGACTAAACACCACCCCTTTGTGACTCCTGGTATAAATAAGGCTATAAGGCTTCCCACGGCATGTTGAAAGGTCGAAGATGGCTTAGGAGACCGGCCCCGTCATGACACCAGGAGACCGGTTCCGTTTTTTTTCCCGAATGCGTAGCGAAGGGTTCTCGTTTAACTCTGGGGGTCCTGGGGGTAGAGTCTTGTTCGCGATCCGTTGCTTCTATGTTCGCAACCGTCCGCAACCGTCCGCAGTAGGTCGCTAAGGCGCTGCCATTGGGGGAAGCTTTTGCAAGTGACTATGCATGGATGTGTCACGTGTTAGTTTGCGACGCGAGTCCATTGTGATTTGCGTGAAAAGGACATGTCGCACAAGAAGCGTGATGCATTTCACTGCACAGGCGCAGCGTTTTGTGAGATCCGCAGTTTGCTACGCAGTTCCATTGGGATTAGCGTTTGGAGAGTCGTTTTTTTTGGGGTGTTGGATGTGGCCGTGCCATTGGGATTTGCGTTTCAGGGTGTGGCATCGAAGCTCTGTTTTCGTGACAAGTCTCAGCTGAAATGCCGATTTTGGACCCTGGGAGTGTGCTCAGAACGGGTCGAAATCATTCCAAACGTGTGGTGTGGTGCAAATTTGGGTGAAGCTCACATGAGATGACATTATCAGGCGCAGGACTTTGTGCGGGTTTTGAGGTGTGGAAGTGGGATTTTCGTGGCAGGCGCAGGGAATCGTGAGGTTGCGATGCGTGACGGAGGTGACATGTCGTGACAGGCGCAGTACTTTGTGCGCGTTAGACGTGTGGACGCGGAAAGATTCGTGGCAGGCGCAGGGAATCGGGAGGTTGTGAGTTGTGGTAGAGGTGAATGTCGCTGTCACATTGGGATTGGCGTGTGAGCGGGTGTCGTTTGGAGGGGCTGGAATCGCGAAACTGCTTGGCAGGGCTGCGTGATGTGTGTGCTCCGATGGGTGTTTCCGCTGGACTTTTGGAGGAAGTCTCGTGCGAAACGTTCGTTTTGCAGACTTTGACATGTGAGTTTTTGAGGACGTCTCGTACAAAACGCTCGTTTTGGGGACTTGACATGTGACTTTTGGAGGAAGTCTCGTACGAAACGCTCGTTTTGGAGACTTGACGTGTGACTTTTGGAGGAAGTCTCGTACGAAACGCTCGTTTTTGAGACTTGACGCGTGACTTTTGGAGGAAGTCTCGTACGAAAATCTCGTCTTGCAGCCTCGCAGCGTGACTTTTGGAGGAAGTCTCGTACGAAGAGTGTGCCCTACAGGAGTGTCCCACAAGAGTGTCCTACAAGAGTATCCCACAAGAGTTTCCTACAAGAGTGTCCCACAAGAGCGTCCCACAAGAGTGTCCCACAAGAGTCTCCTACAAGAGTGTGAATCAAGAGTGTCCCACAAGAGTGTCCCGTATGAGTGCCCCACAAGAGTGTCCCACAAGAGTGTCCCGCATGTCCCACAAGAGTGTCCTACAGGAGTGTCCCACAAGAGTGTCCCACAAGAGTGTCCCGTATGAGTGTCCCACAAGAGTGTCCCACAAGTGTGTCCCACAAGAGTGTCCGACAAGAGTGTCCCATAAGAGTGACCCACAAGAGTGTCCCACAGGAGTGTGCAACAAGAGTGTCCCGTAAGAGTGTCCCACAAGAGTGTCCTACAAGAGTGTCCCACAAGGGTGTCCTACAAGAGTGTCCCGTAAGAGTGTCCCACAAGAGTGCCCTACAAGAGTGTCCCGCAACCGTGTCCCACAAGAGTGTCTCACAAGAGTTAAGAGTGTCCCACAAGAGTGTCCTATAAGAGTGTCCCACAAGAGTGTCCCACAAGAGTGCCCTACAAGAGTGCCCCACAAGAGTGTCCTACAAGAGTGTCCCACAAGAGTGTCCTACAAGAGTATCCCACAAGAGTTTCCTACAAGAGTGTCCTATAAGAGTGTCCCACAAGAGTGTCCTACAAGAGTGTCCTACAAGAGTGTCCCACAAGAGTGTCCCGCAAGAGTGTCCCAAATGAGTGTCCCACAGGAGTGTCCCACAAGAGTGTCCCGCAACAGTGTCCCGCAAGA